GATTCCATTTGTTTCCTATGTTGGGATTCCATCATGTTCCTGAGCTCCTTTCTAGATTTATTAATCATGTCTTGCACTAGGAGCACAATCTCTGCTGTTATCTGAGAAATTATTTCTGATTTCATTTTTTCCAGATCCCCTTTTGTTGTCAGTTCAGTGGCTCCAGGTGGTTGAGTATCAGTGTGTTGCATCTCATTTTCCTTTAGGGTTGCTGTAGGTGATCTGGAAGTCTGATTTTGAGACTTACTTACGTGTTTTCTCATTTCGAAGGGGGGTGGAGGGATGGGGGGTGTGCTGTTGATGCCTGCAAGGCTCACCTCCTCTGAGCTGGGAGAGGTGGGACAGGGGCCGGGAGTGGTGGGAGGGATGGTGGCCAGAAGCCCCTTCCTCTGGGCCAGGAGTGGTGGCTCAGACAGTGGCCCAAAAGCCCTTTCCTCTGGGCTGGGAGTGGCGGGATGGATCAGGATCATTATGTGTTAATTGTTTGACGTGAGACATATCTCTTGTGAAATTTGGAGGTTGCTCTGAACTCCAGAGCCCTTTGGCTCTGGTTCTAGCCTTAGTTAGATTCCTTTCGGTGGCAGAGTTAATTCAATAAGTAGTGAAACAGTCTTCTCTTGAGGCTGTTTGGCCAATTCTTTCTCATCAGTGGTGCTTCAGGGGAGCAATGTCTCCCCAAGGGAACTGTGGACATTCAGGAGATTTTTTGTTGTTGTTGTCACAATGATCAGGGCTCACCTCCTGGCATTTAGTGGGCCAAGGCTGGATGCTTATTGTCTCCCACCCCACCCCGCCACTTATCGGTGACATTTTCCTTGTTCCAACCAACATGTGAATGTTTTGCCAGTGGTTTATATAGATGACAAGCATGTCTTATATATAAGCACAAATAACTTTTCCCATAACTTTATAATGAATTTTTATGTGTTTTTTCTATGTAGCCAGCTTTCATTTCAAAAGTAAATGAGGGAGTTACCAAATACTTGTCATAGTAGGTGAGTGCTGTGTCCTACAGGTTCGCATGACAAGCTGAGCAAGACATTCCAGTTTATACCAATGGACAAAGGGATACACGTATTTATCCTTATTGGAATTCTTCATTACCCACTACAAAATGACCTTTCTTGCCCTAGCACTCACATCAATTGAGGAAGTTAAAAACCACCCTTTTCAGGGATCTTCTCAGAGTTAAAAGATAGCCCAAAATTATATCTCCCCCAATAAAAGGACAAGAGATAACCTTTCTCACCTTTCTCTCAATTCTTTCCACATCTCACACTTATCTTGCTTTTGTTTAAAACTGGAATCCTTGCTTTCAGCAGCAACTTCCTTAAAACAGGATTCTTTGTATTTGTACTTAGAGCATTCTAACACCTAGGGGCTAGATGTTGGCTAAGAAGAACTCGGGCAGGCTTTGGGCCAAAGTAAAACATAAAGGATTTTCTCCAGGGTTAGAGTTCTTAATCTGAGAGTGATATAGCAGGTCAGCGCTAACCTGGCTTTCCCCTCTCTTTATACAGTACATGTTTCCAAACATGTGTTTGAAGGTTAAATTATAAACTGCCTGTAAGTATCACTGCAATTATGAGAGCTCTGCTTACAAAGCAATAGATACATCTGCAATGTCTCCCTAATCATGATGACTGCAGAGCTCCAGCACTTGGCACATTCAGGCTTACAATAAATATTTGCAATGAATGGACAAATGAATGAAAGGCTCAAGTCCATCCATTTTCTCCTCTGCCATGCCACACTATTTGTACACCTGATGAATGAAATAAAACACTTAAGAACAAAGAAATATGTATAAAAAACAAAGACTGAGCAAAACTTTTTCTATTATCAAAACCTCTGTGAAGAGCCATATATTTATAATATAGATTAGCAAATATCTTGCACCAAATCTGGGTAGCAATTGTAAATTGGTGTCTTTGTCATCTTGGGCTTATAGGCATGATAGCCTTTGTGACTTATAAATAACAGAAATTTATTTCTTGCGTTTCTGGAGGCTGGGAGTCCAAGATCTGGATGCCAGCTTGGTCGGGGCCTGGTGAAAGCCCTCTTCCAGGCTGCAGACTGCTGACTTCTCCTTGTATCCTCTCATAGTGACAGGAGTGCTGTGGAGCGTCTGAGGTCCCCTTTATAAAGGCACTAATCCCCTTCATGAGGAGTCCACCGTCAGGACCTAAGTCATCTTCCAAAGGTCCTAGCTCATTTTCACATCACATTGGAGGTTGGGATTTCAATATGTTAACGGGGGTGGGGGGCACAAACATGCAGTCTGTAACAACTGATGTTTTGTTCAGCCAAAGCTTTATCTTTGCTTTGTCATTCCATTTCCACAGAGTTTCTCTTTTTGGATCTCTAAAAGTTCTGGTCAGTTCTTCCTGTTTCTTCTCTGCATGCTTTCCTTCATGGGGAAGCTGGACAGGTACTCTGTTGACTGCAGGTCTGGTGGACCCTGGGTAGTGAGGTGAACAGGCTGGAGGAGTGTGACTTACCAGAAGAGGAATGTGACTCTGCCAGGGAACTTTGAAACCATGAGACTTGTGGACAGGGACTTGGGGATCTTGCAAAAGCCCTATTGGTAGAAAGATGATTTAATAATTTGTATGCAATATTCACAACATCACTAACAGCCTGTTAGTTCGGATTATATAAACTGTGGTCCTGATTAGATAAAAATCAGTCCTGTATTGGGTAAGCTGATGTACTTGGATTTGTTAGAAGTCTTGAGTGTAAGTGGCTCTGTTACAGAGATTCTGTCCTCCGTCTCTGTAGTCAATTTATCATAAGTGAATAGCCAATAATCGATAAAGAATTTTATGGTATTTTTCAGTGAAAATGTTTTGGGATATGTTATGGAGTTGATCGGGCCATCAAAAGAGTAAGTCAGTTGTCAAGAAGGATTTTATTCTTCAAGGAGAAAAATAATTCAAGTTGTAATGGCAGGGACTCAAATGATGATTCACCAAGAACATCATCAAGTCAGGCCAACAAAAGTGGAAATACAGATAATTTTACTTGGTTTGTAGGTTTGTTTGTATTTTGTAAACAAATCATTAACCTACAGTTTAATATTCTGGTTCATCCTTAGCCCTGTGAAATCATCACAGAGACATACTTGTATCCAGTCAATCTCTATCCATTTCCTTTGTTGCTTTCTTGTTAGCATATCATCACCTAAAGCTACTTGTTTGTTTACTTGTTTACTGCCTTCCCCAACACTCACACCCTGCCTCCACCAAGGCAAGCCAGAAGAAGCCAGTCTATTTCTTACCCAGTCTATTTCTTACCAAAACTCTGGAACACAAAACACAGAATAAATAATAAATACTTTTTGAATTAAATAACACATTTAATTTGTAAGCATATGTTTTAGAATTGGACTATTAACCCAATGACTTTTTGGGTATATAGTTGAGTAGCATTATGATAAAAACAAGTTAACCTTTCATGCCAAAACTTATATATGAATGTTCATATAACATGATTTATATAGGCCAAAATGCAAACAACCTCAATGTTGATCAACTGATGGACAAAATGTGATATTATCCATGCAATGACTATTATCACCATAAAAAGTAATAAGCTTGACATTATGGAACATGGCCAAGTAGGAAGCTCAAGCAATATATCATTTCATCTAAACAACTATTGAACTGATGATAACTATCTGAGATAGATATTTTGGAACTCTGGAGCCTTGACATTTGCAGCACCCAGGGTAGAAATTGATGAAGAGGCTGGTAAAATTTGGTGAATGTCTGCCATTTTGTGTATGGCTCAAATCCTCCACCTTTACTCCCGTGGCAGGCAGCCTTAGGGGAAGCAGGCCAGATTCCTGGTGGGGCTTGGTGAAGGTAGGGTAAACAATAAGGGTCTTGTCCTCCAAATATGGGATTGTGTGTTTGGAGTGCTGATTTCTCCTTTTGATGGCCGAGGGGCCAGTACAGAGGCTGATAGCCTTTGTGTCAATTCCCATGGGCTGAAGTAGCTTCCAAGGGATTTAGAAAGACAGTACTTAGCTTCCCCAGTTTGGGATCTATGTATTTAAGAAAATCTTTGTGTAGTCGCTGGCTGACTGCATAGAAAATAGAACTGAAACCCCAGTGATAATAAATAATAGACATCTTACAAATATAGTTTGGGAAAGTCACAAACAGATGGCTCTAACCTTCAAAATACAAGAATCAGAAATCTATAAAGTGTGAATTAGATTTTCAAGTACCATAACATAATAATTCTCAACACAAAATTACAAAACACATAAAACAAAAGAAAACATTGAAAAAGGGAATTTGACAGAAATTTTTTTTCTGAAGAGTCTAGACATTACATCAACTGTCTACACTTTGGGAGGTTGAGACAGGAGGACTGCAAGTTTGAGTCAGCTTAGCAAGACCCTGTCTCAAAGTAAAAAATGAAAGGAGGCTGGGGATGTAGCTCAGTGAGAAGGCCTTAAGTTCATCCCCACTACTGGAAAAAAAATTAATTGTCTAAAATAGACTCAAAGAGAAAAAAGAAGCTATGGACAAAGAACTAAAGGAAATAATATATGAACAAAGAATATCAATAAAGAGATAGAAATTACAAAAAGGAACCAAACTGAAATTCTGATGATGAAAACTATAACATAAAAATTTTTCTGGAAGCATTCAAAAGCACATTCCAGCAAGTAGAAGAAAGGATCTGTGAGGGTGAAGATGTGTACACTGAAACTGTCTAATCTGAGGAACTGAAAGAAAAAAGAATGAAGAAAAGCATACAGATTTTAAGGGAACTGTGGGATACCAGGAAGTGGATCAACATACACATAATGAGAATTTCAGAAAGGGAAGAGAGAGAAAAGAGAAGAAAGAATATTTGAAGAAATAATGACTGAAAACTTCCCAAACTGATAAAATTAATCTATAGAGATTCAATTTTTACCAAGCTTTATAGGAACATGACACTTGCCTAAAAGGCTTACACTTCCCAGCCCCCTTTATAAAAAAGCAAGGGGTTTCCTTGGGTCTACTTCCAAGGTGCCACCAGAGCAAAGAATACTGCAACCATACTGCTTGGGAATTGGAAGCAGGGATCCTACTCATATATCCTGGGTGGGAACCAAGTTTGCTTTTCTTTCCCTCTATGAATAAATAAACACCAAGAAAAGAGAAGTGGTGACAGGTAAACAAATACCTGATTCTTCTGAAAATAATTTCATCTTCTCTTCCTTTTGGAGTTTAGAGTAGGGAGAGAACACTGGTAATGTTCACAGTTGTCATTCTCGCCTTAATTATATGCATAGAGACTCCATTTTATTCAGGACAGAAACTCACCAAACTAAAAGTCTAAAATTTCTAACCTCTCTTGCAGCTAAAAATGATTAGACTATATTCAGGTACTGTAAGATGACCAGAAGTGTGGGACTTTGAGGAAGCTTCCCAGATGAAACCAACATTTTGGGAGAGCCCCCTCGCCCCTACCCTCATTCCTCTGCTTGCCCTCTGAAATGCAGACATGGTGGCCAGCCCAGGCTGGAGTTCCAACAGTAATTTTTGATGCACCTGAGAACCAGCAGCTCCACTGACAACTATGACGATGAAAACCATACACTCAGTTGCTAAAACAGAAAGTCTGAGAACTTCCATAGCAGTCGGGCCAAGGTCAGTATTTCTGTTTGTCTCTAGAGTTCTTTGACATGAGAAAGAAAAACAATTTCTCTCTTGTTCATGTCACTGTTATTTTGGAGATTTAGTAACTCAAGCACCACAAAATGGTGTTTCAGTCAACAATGTGCTGCATATATAATGGTATTCTATCAGATTTTAATGGAACTGAAAAATTCCCACTGCCTAAAGATGTGGCCATCGTAATGAGTATCCTGGTGCAACACATTACTCACATGTTTGTGGTAATGCTAGTGTAAACAAACCTTCTGCATTGCTGGTTCTATAGAAGTATAGCGCATACAATTATGTATGGTCATAATACTTGATAATGATAATAATGCTACTGGCTTATGTATTTATTGTACTATACTTCACATTATTAACTTGTGGTATAGTCCTACTTATTAAAAGGGTTACTATAAAACAGTATGCCATGTTACACAGGCCCAATACATCTTATGTTTACCATGTCTCTTGTTGCATTGAGAAAACATGTCCCTGTTGTTGACATGTGATTGTATATCTGATACTAACCAGTGTATAAGGTTTGTCACCATGTGACCTTAGACAAGACACATGCCTTCCATGGGACATATCCCTGTGAGATCAGTGGCGGGGCAGATGTAGAGTCCATGTGTATGATTCTGAGATCTGGTGCTTTTGTCTGGCCAACATCAAGCCCTCTTCTATTGGAACCAGCATCTCAGTTTTTTTTTCTGAGTTGGGGGACTACTCTATCACACTCAGTCCTAGGGCTTAAGTTAGGTTGACATCACTTCCTAATCCCCATAGTGGGGCACAGGTGTGGGGCACAGAGCTGTTTATCCAGACTACCTTTGCCTATGCATTCTTGGTACATTGGACATGCAAGTCCAGTGAGGCAGGAAATCACCAGCATGTTCTTTTTGGTCCAGATATAGAGCCCCAGCCATGGACACTAGGCCTGGTATCCCCAGCATCTGTGTGAATTAGGGAGCCTTCTGTACTCGGGTGTGCCTGAGACATCTCAGCCCAATTTCTCATGCTAGGTTCATGGAGCCTGATACTGCATACTCACTAAGCACACACTTAGGTGATTCCAAATCTAATCCCTCATTGTACATTTGGAAAACTGAATCTCAGAAAGAGACAAGGACTTCCCTAGCCCTACTATAGGGAAGTGGTATTCAGTCTCCAAGCAACATATCCAGGGGCCCAGAAATGGATTGGGGGAAACTAGGGTTCTTTAAGGTCCTCAGATAGCCTTGAGAGGACAGCAGCAGTATTCTGAAGTCTGCTGCTCTTGAGCTCCTTCTCAATGTAATAGGGGCAGCAGGAAAGAAAGCCTCCATCTCCTACAGTGTAAACTGGGGTGCTTGGAGTGGGTGATTCCAAAGGTTCCTCATGCTCAGAAAGTGTCTATTGAAATGAGTTCTGTCAGTATCTCACTGTGCTCCAAGACCCTGGGAAAATGCTTTTCACTACCTGGAGGTCATTCAGAGGAGAGGGAGAACAGGGGCTTGGTGGATGAGGACTTGGTATGAGGCAGAAGGAGCCATAGCACTGGATCCTGAATCTGAGAGCATGAGGCTTTGGGGGGACATCTCGTAGTAACCATAACACTGTGATAAGAATCAGACCAAAGTGCCTCAGCCTGGCCTGCACAGTGGTGGCATCCACAACAGCCTACAATGATCCCCTCCTCCTGGTATATATAGAGTCTGGAGCCCAGAGAAAAAGCCTGTCCTTGAATCCTTAGGGTCCTCATCTGGAAGTAGAAGGAGTCATTGTGGCTGAGGTGAGGATGCCTCCTGGGTACACTGGACATCTGGGGGTGTAGGCAAAGAGTGGACAAGGGAAATGCCCAAGGTCCCTTATGTTGCCTTTGGAGCCTTCAAGAACCTCTCTTTGGTCCCCATGAGACCTCAGAAGCACTGCCTTGGGGTCACTTAAATGTGTAATTGGTGTGGTTGATGTTCCTGTCTGGGGCTGTGGTGCTGGTGCTGGCCACCAGGGGGTGGCAGCTTGCTGGATCAGTGGTGCCCCTGGGCTTTGCTGGAACAATAAGAGCCAGGTAAGAGCCATGCAGGTCATTCTGGCTGTCCTCCTGCCCCAGGCCCAATTGGCACCTCCTGTTATTAGTGATCATCTCTAGAGTCTGAGCTGGTGAGAAATGGGAGGCAGAGCTCTGCAATCTTTCCGATTATTTGGCATGTTCAGCAATCATGCTCCCCTGAGCACTAACTCCATTCCACGTACCCAGATGGGCCAACTATGAGGTGCTGAAAACCGCTGGGTGACCATTTGAGTGGACTTCACAGTCTGGAGGGGGATGTACAGAACATGAAAGCAAGTATATGTGAAAGGTAAGAGCAAGAGCTACAACAAGAACCAAGCAGGGTTTGAGGTAGGGGTGGGGAGATACTGGGTGGGGGGACGAGAAAGGCCTCACTGAGGTGATGTTCATGCTGTGACCAGAACAAGTAGGAGCCAGACCTATACAAGTTTTGGAACAGTGCATCAGGGAGAAGGCACCATTGAACCAGGGACTGGCAGACAGAGTGAGTTTGGCAGAGGGGGTTAGAAGGTAGCCAGTGTGGCTGAGGGGAGCCTGGGAAGACAGAGGAGGGAAGGGAGGAGCACAGCAGGGCTGGAGCCTGGGGCTGGTGGCCTAGGTTAGCCATCTGTTCTCATAAGATGAGCACTGTTACAGTACAAACAGTGAGTATCTCACAGTTTCTGTGGACCAGGACTCCAGGCACAGCTCCCTTGGGTATCTCGGCCATACTCAAGTCTCTCAGGAAGCTGGAGCTGTGGTCTCTGGACCATGGGAGGACCTGTCCCCAAGCCCAGTACTCACACGGGTACTGGCAAGATCCAGTGTGGACTGACAGCCTAAGTTCCTTCTGGTCTGTTGGCCTGGGTGCTCCTTGGTTCTTTCCAGGTGGTCCTCCACATAGGGCAGCTCAGAGCATGGGCACCTGCTCCCTAGTTAGGGATTATGAATAAGAAGAGACGAGGAGGGGAAGGAGGGGAGCAAGAGAAAGTAGGAGGAGAGATGGAAAAAGAGAGAAGGAACCTAGGAGAATGCAAAAGGAAATAGCATTTTTGGTAATTAAATCTTGGAAGCTGCAATAGGCGGAATGTTTGTGTCCCCCAAAAGCTGTGTTATGAAATCCTAACTCCTAGTGGTATTAGGAGGTGGGGACTTCGGGAGGTAATTCAATTATGAGGGTGAAGAATTAGTGCTCTTTTTAAAGGGACATTAGAGAGTTCTCTCCTCCTCTTTCAGCTATGTGAGGATACAGTGAAAATTGGCAGTCTACAATTCAGAAGAAGGACCTCTCCAAACCTAGACCAAGTTGGCACCCTGATCTCAGACTTCCAGCTTCCAGGACTGTGAGGAATAAGCTCCTGTTATGCATGGGTCACCCGATCTATGCTACTTTGAATAGCAGCCCAACCAAAATGGCATCCTGTCACTTTTGCTGTGATCTGAAACTATCACTGCAAGCTGTTGTGGATACCCCAGTGAGCAGGCCAAGATGAGCCACTTAGGTCTGACTCTAATTGCAGTGTTATGATTTATATCTGGATGACCTCCAAAGCCTCGTGGGCTCATAGGCAGGGCTTTGGGGAAGTGATTGGATCATGTTGGCACTATACTCACTGGTGGATTAATCCACTGATGAGTTTATAGATAAATGTGCCACTAGTAGGTGGGGCCTGGTCAGAAGAGGGAGGGCACTGGGGGCATGACCTGAAGGGTGTGTCTTCCTCCCCGGCTCTCTCCCTCCCTGGCTCCTCCCTTCCTGCTCTTCTTCCCGGCTGCCATGAGGTGAGCTGCATTCCTTTCTCACACACCTGTGTCATGCTGTTCTGCCTTGGAGCCAGCCAACTGGATTGAAATGTGAGACAAAATAAATCTGACCTCCTTTAAGTTTCAGGTGTCAGAATTTTGTCCCGGCAACAAGAAAATGACCAAGGCACAGAGGAAAGCCATTGGAAGGTTTTATGCCATAGGATGACAATATATGAATTTCCTTCCATTTCAACCCCCTCATGGTACAAAATGAAAAGTGGCCCAGAGGGGAAGTAACTTTTCAGATTGGTAGAACCTAGGCAGGTTTAAAGTTGCTTACTGTGCTGTGTCCTACCCATCGTATGGTTCTTCTAGCTCTAAATCTGTGCATTTGTTTCCTGTGACACCAATCCATGGATTTGTAAGTACCATCTCATTTATACTTGGTGATATCCCCAGGAAGCCACTGTTAGTGTGATCCCCATTGTGCAGGTTAGGAGACCAGGAAGGCCTTGAGAGGCAATGGGCTGATAAGAAAAAAGGAGGCTCCAAAGCAGCTCTGTCTGCTCAAGCCTAGGCCCTGGATGTATTTAGGTCTCTCACTGATGTATTTAGGTGAAACTGTGTAGGTGGGAGATGGCACTGAGAGGAGGGTAAGCAGTTGCAGGTCACAGAGGGTCTTGTTGAAGGAAGGGACCTAGGTGACGGGACCTTGAAAACACTATCTCACTTCCTTGGTGATAGATCCCCAAAGAACTTAGAGTTCTGGTAACCAGGCACCCACATTTCAGAGACAGCTCACCATGCAGCTTGCTTGGCTAAAGATCTTCAAGAGAGCAAAATGTTTTCCTGTTGTGGCCTTATGTTCTGAGGCTCTAGCCCCACGAACAAGTGAGAACTTTTTCATGGCTTGCAGAGATTGGTTTAGCCCACACCCCTAAAGTCTCTGGCCATTTGGCACAAGGTATCTGAAGGCAACACAGGACAGCCCTGGGGAGGTTCATCCAGGCCAGGCCAGAACTGGCCTTCTCCCTGGGCAGCCCCCTCACTCCACCCTCTCTTGTGTGTGTGTGTGTGTGTAGGTGGGAGGGTGGCAAGGGATGAGGACTGAGTCCTCCTTAGGCAGAGGAGGTTGTGAAACATTGGAACGCTGGTGGGCTTGTTATGATTCAGGTTATAGCTAGAAGGATGGAAGGTGAGCGCTGGGTAGAGTGCATCCCTCTGGATTTCAGTCGTGAGCCCGCAAACCTTCATGTCATTTCTTCTCTCCCTGAAGCCCATGCAGATACTCCTCTGTGCCTGATCTGGGGGGCAGAATTCCAAATGGGGTATTCTCTAGCAATGGCCAGGCAGACCTCTCACACCTCATAGCCGAGCTCCAGGAAACTGCCTTTTCATAGCTCCACTTGGAGGAAGTGAAAAATGAAATGTCAGGCAGGCCTTTAGGGAGTTATTTCTTTGAAGCTCTGGTACCTTTTTTTTTTTAATTTTTGATACTGGGGATTGAACTGAGGACCTTGGACTTGCGAGGCAGCTCTGGCATCTATTTTAAGTGACCCATTCCTAGTACCTGCCTTCTGTGCTGACCATGTGGACATCACCTTTCATGTCTGTTTTCCTCACTGGAAGTGAGTTCCATGTGGGCAGGGACCATGCCATGTCCTGTCCCTGATAAAGCTACAGTGCCTGGCACAGAGCAGAGATGGATGGACAGACAGATGGGTCAAGAGGCAGACAGACGTGTGCACAAACATAACTTTACTTGGGGCACGGTGGGGTCACAGGTACAGGCCCTGGATGGTGTCCAAGGAGCGTATCCAGCTGTCTTTCCAGCACTGAGCCTGCTTCACTTGTGTCACATTGTCATCATGGATCTTCTTCAGCTGCTCCTCAAACAGTGCTAAGTATTTCTAAGGGAGAAAGGCAGCAGGAGGGACCAGGTGGAGGGGCTCGTGCACTCTGATCCAGGAGCACTATAGCTAGCTGGCAAGCAGTCTGAACACACTGCAAGACCAGCAAGAGTTCCCATGAATTTACCTAATAATCCATCAAGTAGATGCTTTTGTTTCCCTCATTTTATAGATAGGAAGATTGAGGCTCAGAGCCTTGCTTGGGGTCAATTGGCAGGAGAAGGGCTAGGACCATATCTCTCTGGCTTAGTCTGCTGTGTCCTGACCTTGGTACTGCAGAGGAGCCTCCTGGAGCTCAGGAATCCTGGCATCCTCCTGAGGCTGAGCCCCTGGCCTCCAGCCCTGGTTGAACTCAGTGAACAGAGCCATTCTCTCTGCCTGGCATCTGGGGAAGTGCCAGTGGTGAGCATGTCTGGCTCTCCCAATCCCAGGACCAGAGAATCTGCGGGCAGGACAGGGCCTTTCTTGGGGCACTAGGACTAATGGCCCATGGATCTTTAGAGCTACAAAGTCCCTTGACTGGGAGGTAACATCTGGGAGTAGCCTCTCTTGTCAGGCAGACTCATAGGGTGTCATGGTCAGTGGGATCAAATCCTAGGTCTGCTGCTCTGTCATGGCACAGAAGGACAAGTGTCTTCATGCAACTTGTCCTTGTCAATGAAATGGGGACCATAAATTGTACCTCCTCCTAGGAGGATTCAGTGAGATGCCCCATGTTAAGAACAGAAGATACCAGCAGGTACTTAGTGGTTGTTAGTGCTCCTGCTATCAAGCCCCCACTGCAAAGCCACTTCTACCCTCATATCCATGCCTGTCATATCGCTTAGCTCACTCTACTGTCCCTCTGCAAAGACTTTCTTTATGCCCAGTGTGAGTAGGTGTCCCTCAGCTGGGCTCCCACACCAGCAGGCTCAAACTTAGACCTATGCTAGCACTGGTACTGCACACAACCCCCGGCTCACATCCTTATGCCTACAGACATCAGTTGCATGTTAAACCTGTGGCTTTGGGAAGCACTGACATGTGTTTGTCGTCTGCTCCATAGGATATATGTTAGGGTGCTCAGTGGCAAGCAGCTTCCTTCTTCCTGAGGCAGCCATGCTGAGCTGCTCTGCACTCCCTGGGATATACCCATCCCACCCAGTCTCACCAGGTACATTGCATCTCGGGCTTCCACCGCAGCCAAGTGGCCCAAGGTGGTCTTAGAGGTGGTTATTGAGGGTGTCTTCTGAACAAGAATCTTGTTTCGGATGGTGGTTTCCGTGGGCTTGATTCCTGGCCACTTCCTACAAACACATATTTGGCTTCATTATTCACAACTCATCTGCCACCCCTGCTGCTAATAAAGCCCAGCAATTATTATGGCTTTAAACAGCTTCATGAAAAGAAAAGGCTCAACTGAACATTTAATGTTCCATTTCTTTAACTTCTGTTTTGTATTTCCAAACTGTTGTAATGGCTGTGTGTGCAGTCTTGGGTTCCGTGTGGGGAAGGGGAATGCCACACCTCAAGTTGCTTTCCTTTTCTGGGCCCGTTTCCCCATCAGTCTGCAAGCCAGCCTGCAGTCCTGACCCATTTTCCCTACTATGCTGTAAAGGTCACTGCTGGGAACATAGCTGGGCAAGTCATTGCTTTCACATTCTTGGAGCACAGGGGACAGACAGTTTGACAGTTCTCATCACATATGACAGAGAGCTGGGGAGGTTCACAGTGCCCACAGTGACCAGAGAATATGCCCCTCTCAGAAGGCTTTCCTTTCTTTGTAGGCTCATAGGATGAGCTTATCATGTAAACTCATAGTTCCTGAGCTCTTAGTATATGCAGGGTGGGGGGACTCCAGGACAGCCTCATGTAACTTTTTTTTTTTTCGTAAATCCACTTGAGGTGTACTGCCATGTCTATTTCACAGTTAGGAAACTGAGGCTCAGAGTACAGTGCCTTTCTAAAGTTTCCAGGTCTGTCTGAGATTGGAGACTGAACCCCTGAGTATCCCCTGCCCAGTGCCTAGTAGACACAGCCATTTGTTGCTGCTCTGGGCTCTCACCTGCTCCCACGTTCGATCAGAGGCGTCTCACTCTCTTCCTCCAGGGAGAGCCTGGCCAGTCTCCTCCGTATAAGGGTTGACATTTTCTGTTTGGAGGGCTCCATCCCTGACGGGAAAAAATTGGGTTACTGACTGTGGCGTCACTCCCAGCGTGAGATCAAGGGGTGTCCCTGTGTGGTAGCACTGAGAGGTAGGAGGGCTCGCCCCCAGCCTCCCTGCTTGGGGCCTTCAGTGACAGGCAGGGCCCCTCCACTGAGAAGCTGGTGCGCCAGACAGGCAGCTGGGGCAGTGGTGGTAGTGGGGATCACTGCAGAAGTCTTAGGAGTGATCTAGGTGGTTCCCAGCCCCAAATCCCTGGGCTGGATCCTCTGATCTTCCCGAAGCTTGTGTGAATCCCCAGATATGCTTTGTAGAATCTTTAGCTCAAATGCTTTCTGAGTAAGAGCATCCCCTAGAACAAACATATTCAGGCTTGTTTGTTGAATGTCTGGTTTGCTGACTCAACCCATGTTATGCTTTTGTGATAAGGAGAGGAGTTGTGTGGAGTGAGGGCCAGGAAGCAGGAGACTCCCTGACTGCATCCTTGTCTGCAGTGGATGGTAGAGCCAGGCAGCTTGGCTCAGAAGCCTGAGGTTAGACAGGCAGAGGCCTCCTATGTGCTGGGGATTTTCCCTGCTCAGTAGTTCCATGCAAGGCACCAGAGTGGGCTCCGCTGCCAGCTCAGGTGTCTGTTCTCACGGGGCTCTCAACCACCAGTGTCCCCGCTGGTTGTGCTTTCCCAAACAGACCTCTGATACTGGAAAGTAGCCAACACCTCAAAAGTGTGTATGCATTTTGACCCAGAAGCTGCAAGCTAAAAGCTTGTTGCCCCCAAATAATGATGTATAGAGGCAGAGATTTTCTTTGGCCTAATTATAGGAGTGAAAAGTTGGAAATGGCCCAATGCTCAGCAGCAGGGGATGAGTTGGTAAATGACAATGCTTAGTGAATCACAGTGAATAGCAACAGAAAATATCCATAGGACGGCCAGCCTGAGGTCCACCTAAGGGGGATCGGGGCACACACACATCCACAGGCCCTGCACCCACCCCTGCCTGTGCCCCATGCATGCAGGCCTGCACCCACCAGGAGGGGACCAGGAGGGGACCGGGAGGGCTAAGGCCACTGATTTCTAGGCTGAGGGAATGTGTTCTTCACTAGCTTCTTAGTTCATACTAAATTTCTTATTTAACTGTAACAAACTCTTATTGTTTGTTTTAAAACTTTAAAAAATAGAATAGATTTTTGATTACTTTATAGAGTAGCAACAAATGAATGATATTGAATATACGATTATAATCTTATATTTATAAAAGTGCTATGCACATTATAAAACATTTAAACATCATTTAATGGTGTATGTGTGGGAGGGAGATTTTAGGATCCTCCCCCTACCCCACCCAGCAGTTATCATCAGCAGTTTGACACCTGTCCTCAGGCTCTGTCTGTCTCCTTTGCTTTGTCTCTCTCAGTGTCTGCCTCTCACACAGATTCATTTAAACATCTGTGAGTATGTATATTGATAGTCTCCAGTGTATACTGATAGTTTTTTAAACATGGGATCATGAACATGTCCTCCTTGTCCATTTGTCTTTTTACATACCGTCCTTCCTATGTCCTTCCACATCAGCACATACAGACTTGCCACTCTCATTTTAAGAGCTGCACCGTATTCATTGTATATCTGCACCATCTCTTATGCATCCAATCCCTTATGTATGCATATTGGTGCTGTTTCTAATTCTTTGACATTTCAAATAGTACTGCAACAAATATTCTTGAACATGTACCTTGAGAAGAGTGTGCAAGCATTTCTGTTGTGTACATTCTTAGAACTGCTAGGTCAAAGGCATATACATGCAGGTTTTGTTTTGTTTTGTTACTGGTAGTATTGGGGCTTAGATCCAGGTCCTCACATTAAGCTACATCCCCAGACCTTTTTTATTTTTTGAGACAGGATCATGCTAAGTCACTAATTGTCTAGGCTTGACTAGAACTTGTAATTTTCCTGCCTTACCCTCCCATAGTGCTGGGATTCCAGGCATATACCACCATGTCTGGCCACATGTAGAATTTTCATGGGACCTGACAAAGGATTCTCCAAGAAAGTAGTTATCAAGATGTGGTCCTACAAGATACCTGCTAAGGATCCCTTAGGGGCCTGTGTTTCCTATATCCTTGGCATGGGTGGCTGCTACCAAAGTTGAACCCTTGGCAGTCTATTGAAATGATATCTATGAGAAATGATATCTCCATAATATTTACATTCACATTTTCCATCATCAGTGAGGTGGAGCGTCTTTCAGTCATTGGCCACAGAACTGCTTCTCTTTTGAATTACATGAGTTTATTTTTTGTCTGCTTTTAAAAAATGTGACTGGTGAGAGTTCTTTGTACCACAGAGAGGATAACCTTTTCTCTGATGCATAGGTTGTGAGGAATACATTTCCAATTTGTGGTTCTTTTTTTTTAATATTTGACATTTTTCTGTTTTTGTTTTAGCCTCAGGGAAGTGCCAGCTATTTCTTTCATGGTTTCTGGTTCTCGTGCCATTCTTAGAAAAGTTGGCCTTAACCCAAAGCATATGAAAATATTTACTGTTAGGATTTTATTTATTTACATATTATCATTGATCCATCTAGCATTTGCCTTTTTAATAAAAAAAATTATTCCTAATGAAAACAAAATCAATTAGTCTCCTCAGTTTTTACCTTGGTGAAATTGGAGAAAAGTAGATACTTCTTACCCCCTGCAAGCCTCTCCTGACCCCTGGGACCAGAGCACAGGCCTTGTGCACTTACTGGCAACCTGGATGTCGTCCACAGTAACCACTTCATCCAGCTGCAACAGAAGCTTCTCGGTGAAAGCGGCTAAGCTGGTGATGAACAAGTGGCTGTATTTCCTTGCAAATTCCTGGAAGAAAGGGGCAAGCATGGAGTTGGGGGAGAGCTTCCCTCCAAGGCCAGATGAGGGACAGCTGGGTTGGTACTGTAGAGAGGATGTGGGGATCCTGCTGGTGAGCTGAGCCCAAAACCATGGTGCCAGTTGCCTCAGAGCTAACCAGCAACTGGTCCTCAGAGTCGGGGGCCTCTCCCAAGAGCTGATTTAGTTTGAGGATAAGCAGTGATTCAAAAATGGCTAAGGAACACACACAGACATTTCACTGAAGAGGAAATAAAAGTAGATGTGGATCATGAAAAAAATTCAATTGCTAATTTTTTAAACAATTTAGAAATCATAGAAATGCAAAGTAAAACACCCAATAATGACCATTTCACCTACAAAACTCACCCACTTTCATTTCTGCTTTGGCCCAGGTGCCAACCAAGGTACGTCCTTTGCCAGTGGCTGCCCACCAGAGCCAACTTTCTGCAGGGCAGTATGGCCCCCAGCACCCAAACTAGGAGTCAACAGCACTACTGACCTCCAACCTTTCCCTGGTCATCTTGATTGCATGGTTCAGCTCTTCTTGTCTTTTCTTTTCTGAAGCATGTAGAGACTTCATTTGCTGGAAATTTTGGGGGTGTCCAAGATTTGGATGGAGCTTCTGGGCATTTTGATCCTTTGAATAAATAATCCAGAATTTAGCAGGGATTATTGCTGCTGAATTCTGCAGCAGACTTGAGATCAGTATCAGAATGTCCCTGGTCTATGTATTCTGTTAATTAAGGCCATGGCCACACAAATGTGTCTTATGACCTGGGTGTGTGAAGGACCCAAGCCCAGCTCATCTCCTTCTCTTGGATTTAGCTGTCCATGACCTGCCTCCATTCTGAACTCCCAGTAACCCTAAGTCCTGGTGTGGAACTGGCTGGTCCTGGATCTCTCACCTTCCTTCTCTCCAGCTGCTTTTGCTGCTTCTCAAACTCTGCCCGGATGTCTTTCATGGTGGTGCAAAACTTTTGCCAGTGTTGATCCTTAAAATTCTCCGTCACCAGCCAACACACCTGGGGCAACAGCTCCTCAAATCTCTTCATCTGGAGTCGCAATTCTGCAGGAATTGAGGGTAGGGGCCACAGGAAAGGACATAGTGAAACCAAGTTGCTGAACTGATCTCTCCAACAAAGGCCCACTGCAGTTTCCCAAAGGGAAACCACATGGTGATAGGGATTCCATCAAAAGAGTCCTGTAGTCAAACCAATATAGAAAATATTGGTTACACAAGTTCAAAGGGTTTGTCCTCTATATACTCTGCTGCCTTCTCAACTCATTTAAAATGCATCATGTTTTTCAGCAGTTTGGCAAGTTCTCAATCACCTCTTCAAATATGGCCTTGATCTAGCCTCCACTCTCTCCTTTTGTATCCCTAATAGCCGTATATTAGACTTGCTCTTTCATTCACATCTGTTCACTTCTCTCACATATTTTCATCTTTTTATCTTTCTGTGTTGCAGTCTGGATATTTTCTTTGGATCTACCTTCCAGATCACCAATTTCATCTTCAGCTGTGGATAACTTAGTAAGTAGTAAACCCATTCCTAGCCTTAAATTTTCAAGTCTTAATTTTCCCTTTTTAGATCTGTGTTACTTTTCTCTCTTTGCTGAGACAGAATATCCAGCACCAAAAGTTAAAGAGGAAAGGGCTTATTTAGCTCACAGTTTGTAGAAGTATCAGTCCATAATCAACTGGCTCCAAAGCAAGGCAGCTTGGCAGAGGGGCATCTCAGAGAACAGTTCATGGCAGAGAGACAGTAGTAAAGCAACAAGAGAGCCTGACAGTATCTTTCCTCTACCTTTATCTTATTCAGACTACTGGAATTAGGGTGGTGCCAAACCAATCACTCACTCATGTGTGGTGGTTTAGTAATCACATACCCTTAATCCTAGCATCACACACTAGATTCACCCACCTATGACCGAATGAGGCTTTGGGGGGACATCTAGATCCAAACCATAATAGAGTTCTATTTATTCTCTTTTTTATCCACTTTGTCATTTTAATAATCTCTTGCTCCTTTTACTCACATTTCCAATTCCCTCTTTTATTTAACTATTATGTAAGTATTTTATATTGTGTATGATAATTTCAACATCTGTGCCTCTTGCTTAAGGTGCCTTGTTTCCTTGTGTTTGCATAGGTTTTGTTATTCTTTGTTCATTATGGTGAACTCTGATTCTGGGAATTTTATTTGTGGGAATCCTCTGAGGTCTAAGTTGAAGGGAGGGTCTCTAAAGAAGATTTTAAGGAATCTCTAACAAGCAAGTTTTGGATGCTACAACTCAAGATCATTTTAAATTAAAGTATCAGTCTGAGATCATTTGGATGATGCACAAAAACAAAATTGAATTCATATTTAAATAAATGTGAATTCAGGTTTAGAAACAATCAGTATAAGAGATGACTCATAGTTCTTGATTCTCATTCAAGTTTTTTTCCCCTTTACCTAGTACCAAGGTTTTTTTTTTGGTGTTTTTTTTTTTTTAAATAAGACAGTTTCCTCATTGTTAAAAAGGAGGAACTTGGTTTATATCGCCTTCACTTTACTCCATGGGTGGAGCCCTGTGAGGTTCCAACTTTGTGTGGAACTTTCTACTTCAGGTGGAGTCAGCAAGTGCATTTAGGGCAGTAACTAATTTATCATCCAGTGGTCCTATTGTCACTCAAGTTTTGGCTTTTATATGTTTTCTACTTTACAACTAGCTCATCCATGAGTTTAAAAAATGTTAGCCCTAAAATATTTTATCCAGCATTTTATGTATTTTCAGTAGTGAGGACACTAGCCTGCCAAACTAAAGATATGCAAGTCTTCTCTTGTGGAGAATTATGAATCTGCCAGAGAGAGACCTCATCTGTAGCATTTTCCAAACCCATTTGACCATGAGACCTTTGTTTTGAGGATAATCATGTAGGATAGGATCTCTCAGAGCTCAGTTGGGGTAAAGTATAAGCTAGAGATATAAAGATTGTAGCTTCAATTCTAGTTATTCTACAACCATAGTGATGAGAGATACTGCTGACCATTTATTCCCTGTACATGCAAATCCATCCAAAGGATTAATCCTCATAAAAACTTTCCAAGGTGGATGTTGTTACTATCTTCCATTTATAGACAAGGAAATTGAGGCTCAGGGAAGTGAGAGCACATGGCAAAGTTATACTTTTGGCCCCAGGTCTGACTTTCCCCAATCCCTCCCTCCTTTCCCCCAGGCTGCCTCTGAAATGGCAGAGCACAGCACAGCAATGTAGTAAGTCAGCAGCATTGAATATTCAGGAAGGATGTACTGACACAATCTACAACATGCAAAACATTAGGCAATGCTGAAAAAGTCACAATAAAACCCATTATTTTGTACAATCAATATGTGCAAATAAAAAACAAAGGATGGTTTTTAGCAAATTGATCTAATATGGATGTAACTTGTAGAGCTGTGTTTGCTTAATAGCACTTTGATTGTAATCTGTTTTTACTGTCCCTGAGTGAAACTTGAATGAAAAACTTATAAATGTTTACACCTCAAGTAAAAGGAATAGAAAAGACAAAGAAATATTTTGAAAGTCCGCTTGCTATGGTTTGGATAATTGTCAATGTGTTGAAGGCCTGGTCTTTGGCTTGTGGCACTGCCAGGAAGTGGTGGAATCTTTAAGAGATGAGGCCTAGTGGTAGAAAGTCTAGTCATTGGTTTGTGATCTTAAAAGGGATCTGGGGCCTCTGGCCCCTTCCTGTTTTTCTCTTTGACTCCTGGCCATCATGAGAAGAACAGCTTTCTCTGCCAGTTGCTCCTGCTGTGATGTTGCCTCATTACAGGCCTAAAAGCAATGGACTGAAACTGCTAAAACCATGAGCCATAAAAAGCCTTTCTTCTTTGAAAAAAAATTATGCAAAATTAAAAAACTCAGTTACAAAAGGCCACGTGAGTACATTCACCTGATAGTATAGAAAAAGGAAAACCATAGAGGCATTGAGTGGATTGTTTGCAGTGTAGGGCTGGGTGGGGATAAGGTGATGAAGGTTTTAAGAATCGCAGTGGTGATGACTGCAACACTGTAAATAGACTAAAAAAAACTCTGAAGTGTGCATTACACATGGGAATTGTATGACAAGAAAATGTTTCCATAGAGTTGTCAAGAATAACTATGGAAGGAACAAAGTGTTTTCAGTGGTACAAATCACTACATTTCTCAAGGAAAGTAAACTTTTCTTTTTGCATTGTTTTTCTCCAGTTAACGCTAACCATGGCTTTTATCTAATCCTAAGAGATCACCTTTTCACAAGGAGTCTCCTGTGCCTCCTAGCAATCTCAAGTGATGAGAGGTCAAGGCCAAGTACTGTCCCTGGGTTTGTGCCCCACCTGGGTCCTGCCTGGCAGCCTGCCAAACACACGTACCCATGAGGCAGGAGTTGTGGTACTCATCGGTTTGGCTCTGGTACTCTAGGATCTTCTTACTGATGTGCTCAGTACACTGGTCCAAAGTCTCATACATGCAGTCAGGCCTGGTGACTGGGCGCTTCTCTTTTCGGTAAAAATCCTGCCGCAGAGGAATGATCATGCTTGGGTGAAGATCCTCCCTATGGGACTCTAGCCTTGGCTCCTGGATCCACCCACCCACCCTCATTACCATACCTCCTAGTCTTTGCTCATGTTCCCCCTCTGCCCTCGCACCTCCTGTCTCCTAGACAGAGCCCACCCACTATGACTCAGGGCCAGAGTGAGCCCTTGTTACTTGTTAAGTGAGTGAATAACAAATCCTATTTGTCCTTCAAGATCCAAATCAATGGAATCTCAAACTGTGACTAGGTTGGGAGCCTACTAGGAAGCACCATGCTGGGCACAGACTATGGGCCACAAAGACGGACAAGGATCCCCAGCTCTGTGGAAGAAAGCACCAGTACTATGTACGGTGTGCTAGAGCTTGGTGCTGGCCAGGGGCCACTGCCACAGCCCCACCTTCTTCCTGTGCTCCCGCCATGACTATTGGTCTCCTGCAGGGGTCTGGGCTCTTTGGAGACAGAGGCCAGGTTTGTTCCTCTCGGGACACCCAGTACCTGATATGCAGATGATATCTAAGATATGTTTGAGGACTGCCTAAATGCGTAAATTAAATGCTGAATGAAAGAGGTTGGGTTTCTAGGAAGACAAAAAGCACAGAAGGTGACAGAAGGTAGGGAGGTCATGAAGAAGGTGAAATCATCTCTTGTCATTCACTCCCAAGTATCCATGATCAATGACTGCAGAAGCACAGGCAGCTGGCATGTGCTTCAGGGTGGGTTCAGGCACATGGGCAGTGGATCTTACCTCTGCAACAGACAGCAAGTGCTCACTTCTTTCCCACAGGAGGGTCAGGATGATCCCTTTAAAGTCCCTGCAATACACAGGAGCAGATCCCTGATGGGCCTTGTCTAAATATCTCAACATGAACACAACCAAACAGAACTTCTAAGTACTTTGGATGGGCTGTCATCCTTCATAATTACTTATTATGCCCTAGGTCTGTGCACACTCTGATTCCTCTCCAAAAAGAAGCTGCAAACTTTCTTCTTGGTCACATTTGGATCTCAGCTTAGTGCTAATTCCCAGCTGCCTAATACTTCCAGAATGCTCCTCACCCCCATAACCCTCTAACCATGAAGATTTGGGATTACTTTTAAAATCATGATCACTATTCATCTCTTTCAACTGATTTTTAACTCCACCAGGTGTTTAAAATATGAATTGGGAGGTCATTAGGCTGAAACAGCTCTATTACCTGGAGTTCCTACATAAACTAAAGGGAAGCAAACTCAGAATAAATGTTATGATCTAGGAAAACAAAATTTAAGCTTAACTGATCAGAAATAGCCAACTAACCCCTAACTAGAGACTTACCACTTTAGCTAATCCAAGCTCTTCTTCTCCTTTTTTTTTTTGGTACCAGGGATTGAACTCGGGTCCTTGTGCTTGCACAGCAGGCGGTGAAACCACTGAGCTAAATCCCCGGCCCAATCCAAGCATTTCTTAGTCTTGCTTCTGTGAACTCCTTGTAAAAGTATTTTCCTGGTACTGTATTCCTTGGTGGAGGCCTAAACCACTTATCATCTGACACTGACCGGTTCATGAACTGCTGTGTGCTCAGACAAACTTGTTAACACTTTAGTGTGTCTGAGTTTATTTTAACACAGGATGTGGATTTTGTGTGTCTGTTTTTGCTCACCATGCAATCTCCAGCCAAGTGCAGGGCCTGCACCTGTCAGTGCCGCAGTATTGGTTGAAAGAAGAAAGAAGGATGGCTTATAAACAGTGATCAAATGAGCAGGACTTCCTGCAGAAGCAAACATCCTCCTACTCACTCTGGCCCGGGGGCCCATGGTGCACACTCCAGGGGTGTGTAAGGAAAGTTCTACAGACCCGGTGGATATTCCTGCCCAGTTAGGTCAAACATTTTGAAATCAAGAATAAGATAAAGTACAGATGTATTCAAACTGCACGAAGCATCAGTAATATTTCACTACCTGTATAAAGTGTCACAGTGACTGCTATACACATACATCATGTTTGCCACTTTCTAAATTGTATGTGTGTATATGGGTCACTTGGTCTTTCATTTTAAAATTCATTTATCGTACTTAAAGAAAATTAGGAATACATTGAAACACAAGGGAAAATGAATGCCAACATTTAAATGTATTTTCTTCTACTTACTTTATAAAATCACCCATAATTAGATGTATGTGATTTTACATTCTGCTCTGTTCACTTATTAAGCTCTAAGTGTCCTCCATATTGTGATCATCTTCTTAAATGGCTGTAAAGCAGCATTAAATATACATGTATCATAGTCTACAGTGCTCTAATTTTAGACTTTTAGGGTTTTTCTCATTTTTGATTGGCATAAACAGTATTTCATGGAACATATTTGTGCAAGAAGTTTTTCTTCATGGTGGAATGATCTCCTTGGGAGAAATACCTGAAGAGCTACAAAAAGGCATGATTTTAGAGTGTTATGGCTTGTTTCTCGATGTCCCCCCAAAGCCTCCTGTGGTCGTAAGTGGGGGCTTTTCAGAGGTGCCTGGGTCTAGGATGTGTGATGCTGGGATTAAGTGTTTGTGATTACTAAATTAGTCCGCTGATTGGTTTGGCATAGTTCTGGGTGTCAGTAATGGGAAGGTCCACCCTGGGTGTGGGTGACACCACTGAAAGAGCACCACTAGAAGGGATAAAAGGGAGAGGCAGGATGCTGCTGCTGCTGCTTCACTTCACTACTTCGCTACTTTGCTGTCTTCTGCTCATCACGAACTGTTTCTCCTCTGCGCTGCCCCTCTGCCAGACCACCCTGCCTTGGTGCCAGCCAACTATGGACTGAAACCTCTACAAACTGAGTCAAAATAAACCTTTCCTTCTTCAACTTTGGGTCTGTCTCAGGGACAAGAAAAGCAACTAGGACATGGGCTTCACTAAACCTTGCCAAATTGCTTTCGGGAAAGCCAACATGCTGTTGACTCCCAACTCTCAGTGAAAGGGAGGGACCATCTCCAAGTCCCACCCCAAACTGACAGTTTCCACAAAAATCCATGTATGTGTTGGTTAATCTCAGGTGAAATATGGTGTGGACCTGCTGCTCCACTTCCATTTCTTCATATTTCATTGAGGTTAAGTGTTTCCCTCACATTATTATCTCCATTTTTGCTGCCTCCTTTGTGCATGGTCAATTTAAACCTCTCCTTGCCCCTACTGAGTTCTCCTGCTAAATGTTCTTTAGGAAATAACCTGGGGGTATGGGAAAGACTAATGTATTTATTTGCCTTTTTTCCCTACAAGTTTCCCATATTTCAAGATTTCTACTAGTGCTTCTCAGGATGACTGACCTGTGTTACTGAAGGGAGTCCAGTTTGGGACCCATGAGAACTCACTGGTTCTTTTCTACAACTATAAGAGGAGGGTTCTCCTTTTATCCATTGTACAGATGGAAAGACTGAGGCTTGGGGAGAAGTCTTCTGGCCAGGGTCCCAATGTGGTGATACAGATAGGATTAGTCTGATTCTCTTTTCTGAGCAATTTCTCCTTTCAGAGATTTAATAAATGCTTAATGTTTTTCTATTTAGCCTATGGATGGTTTTTAAAAAATCACTAAAATACTGTGGTCATTTCTATTATGAAATCTATTTGGTCATTTGATTATACAAAGTGATGCACTATTGATATATGTGACAGTTTGGATGGATCTTCTTATGGTTTGAATGTGTCTTCCAAAGTTCATATGTTAGAAACTTAATCCCTGATGCAAAGTGTTGAGAGGTGGGCCTTTAAGAGGAGTGGGTCCCTGCTGGGGATTTAGCTCAGTGGTTCCGATGCCTGCCTCACAAGTGCAAGGTCCCGAGTTCGATCCCCGGTACCAAAAAAAAAAAAAGAGGAGTGAGTCCCTGATAAAGGGATGCATTTAGCCCTCTTCCTTTCCCTCTCTCCTTCACTCTCATTACCCTCTGCTCTCTCTCTTACTCTGCTCTGTGATGCTCTGCACCAAGAAGGTCCTCACCAGATGCTGGGGCCTTGACCTTGCACTTCCCAGTCTTCAGCACTGTAAAGTAAATCTTTGCTTTTTGTAAATTATCCAGTCTCAGCTATTCTAGTATTGTAGGACAGATGGACTATGACAGGTCTCAAGGTCATTATGCTGAGTACAAAAAGCCACTCTGAATAAAGGTCAAATGCTGCATGCATCCATTTGTATGATATTCTCCAAGTGACAAAATTATAGGGATAGGAAGCAGATTCCTGGTGGCTTAGGGTGGAGAGTGGCATACAAATGGGTAACAAGAGGGAGATTTTTGCGGGGATGGAGCAGTTCTGTATTTTGACTATGGTGGTGATGTCAGGAGTCTACATATGATAAAATGACATAGAACTACAGAAAACAGAGAATCGAGGTCTTCATGGTGCAGAATGTCTTTGATGTGTGGGCTGAGGGTGTGTCTAGTGATGACTTGCAGACAGGCAACTCCTGAGTCTCCTGGTGGAGCAGCTGTGCACCAAAGGACATGGTTCCCAGCTCCAGAGATCAGACCCTGGGCAAAAAGGCTGACAAGAAGAGGTACTATATGTAGGGTCCCTGGTTAGGTGGAATTGAGACTTCTCTGTGGAGCTCGACTTTCTCCAAGGCTCTTAATTTTCTGAACTTGATATTTTTCTGGTTTGCTTAAAATGAAGCTATACAAAGCAGGCCAGGTTTTGTTTTAATCACTGAGAAGTGATAATATAAAGGAAAATAGAAATGAGGGTGGGGAGGGAAGCATTGAAAAAATTACAAAAAACCCCAAACCTCATAAGTATCTGCTGCTCTGCCACCAATGAAATGCTTGAAAAATACAAAATTTTGGTGAAAGTGTCTCTTAACAAACTTAGAGGAAATAGGCCAAGACAAACTGCCCTTGACCCTTAACTGTTCCCTCCCTGCCCTTTTCTTTATTGAGCTCGCCATCCCCTTTCCCTTTCTTACTTTCCTCTCAGTAGAGTCAGATCCCCCCATGCCACCACCCTGAAACAATGCAGTTAAAGGGAACTCTGTCATCACTTACTCAGCTGGAGGAGGAGACTTGTTCCCGAGCACCTGGTACTTTCTTTCCATTTTGATGAGCTTGGAATGCCGTGTGAGGCTGTGGGACAAAGGTGTGTCAGTGCTCTGCAGTCTGGGGACAGAGGAAAGGCAGGTCTGTGGCTGTTGCAGCCCAGCCTGAAAAGTTGGAGGATGCTTCCTGCCTCCTCAACAGCTCTGGAGACAACTTCATCTTGGGGTGAAGCCTTTACTGCTAATGTCCAACCAAGGGCTCTGAGAGAGGGCAAAGGGCAGAGGGGCTCAGAACCCGGAAATGTGCACTCTCCCTTTGCTGTGGTGAGGACCCAAAGAAAAGCAAGCTGAGCCACAGGTAGTGTCACTAGGGTTAGAAAATAAAGATATGTTATGCCATTTAAACCTGAATTTCACATAAGCAATGAGTAACTTTTAGTCTTAAGTATATTCTATGCAATATTTGGGATGTGCTTATACTAAGAAATTAAGTGTTATTGATATGATGTAAATTGAGCTAGGTACCTGTGGCAGCCCTAGTGACATGCAGCAAGACAGTCACCTAGAGGTTGAATACAGAAACGAACAATGGCTGGGTCACCTATGGGCAAACAGAACTCTAATTCACTACCTGCAGCACCCTGCCCAGGACTCTGTCCCCCTTGCTATGATAAGCAGCCAGAGCCAGCCTGCTGGGAATTAGACTTTCAGGAAGTCAGATTGCTATTGCTAGTGATAGGGCAGGGAGCTAAACAATATCCCTATAATAATAGGCCTCAAATTGCCAGGACTTGATTAGTAAATGACAACTCTCCCAATGTTTGTCCCTATTTCTAACTTAGGATCATCCAGAGAAAACCGGATGTGCACCCTAACCAACCCCACAGGCTGTCCCACTTTCAGCTGGCTGGCTCCCACCAGCTCCCTTTTCCACTGTAAGGTTCCTGCTCCCCATCTGCTCTTGAATCCACCAAGGTGGTAGCCTACTCCCACCCTGCTGGTGGCCCACTGCCTCCTACAGTAATTGCCTCTGCTTCACTCATTTGGTTGGTCTTTGTTCCTCTTCACATTGCACATAGCACTCGGGTTCAAAAAGATCTTCAGCAGGTAAGGCAGAGCAGGGCTCCTCCCACTTTCTCAAAAGCAGGTATTAAGACATATCAACCAGGGCTTATAAAAGATCCAGGAAGTTGGCACAACCACATGGCTTCTGTTATCCAACTGCCATAAAGCCTTCATGTGGGGGCTGGTAACCAGAGCCTCCAGTCTAATGACCCATACAGGGCTCATTGTCAGAGCAAATGGCCAGGGCACCAAAGCCCAAGACTCTTGCACCTCTGTGATGATGCCCCAGGAGCATCAGCTCTGTGACTCCAAATGTCCCCCTTGTTAACCATGAGCATGCACAGGGGGTGGTGGCAGGGCTAGGATACACCTGCCATGTCATGGACAACCACCCAACTCTCAGACACCTCCCCCGGTGGGAGATGTGTGTGGGTCACATGCCTCCCCAGGATGAGCTCAAGCATGACCAAAGCCATCATCAGATCAGCCGCTCTGGCACTGGATGCCAATGGAGTCCCAGAGCACAAGCACAGGTGGGGCATTCTGAGTCATCTCTGGCCTTTGTTTGGGGGGACAGGGTTGGGGTCTGGGAAGATTCCTACCTTGCTGCTGAGGTAGAACTGGTACTAGGCAAGGCCTTCTTCATAGGGCTCTCTGGCTGGCAATGATGTTGCTTCGAGACTTTGGATGATGAGTGCCCAGGACAAGATTGGAGGACAGGAGGTAAGGATGGGCCACAAGTGTCACCAGCTTCCCCACCACCAGCTGCTCCAAACCCAAGCCTGCCTGCCTCTACCTTTATGTGTCCGGTCTTTATCACACTGGTGAGGTGAGCTTGTGCTGGGAAATATAAAACAAAAGAAAAAGATGTGAGTTTTTCTGTAGTCACCATGAGTGACCACAAGGACAGGTCAGGATGGCCCAGGCAGCAGCTCAGTGAGTCCTCAATACTACCTGTATAGGTCCTGTCGTGAGCTCAGGTTCAAAAAGAGCCAATGCTCTGAGAGGGGTAGCCCCTTACCCAAGGTCACAGGCTCCCAGGGGCGGGCTCCCACGGGAGCCCTGCTATGTAGGACCCCAAAACCAGCCTTTGAAGGCACTCACTGCAGGATCTTCTTGACCACCTCCACAGCAGGGTCTTCAATCATTGGCCTCCCCATGCGGAATGGCTGTGCAAAGGACTCAGGGTTGACTAGGCCCACCTTGGCCTCCTCCTTGAGGGTCCCTGAAGACATCCAATTGTCACTCTCTACCTCTGGGTCAGTCGGGGCAGTGTCCTGTGGGCCAGAGAGAAGAGCTGAGTGTGAGGGGCCAGGTGCTAGGGAGGCAGCAGGCCGGTTCACACTCCATTGTTACCCTGTTCAAGCAGTGGTTGGTGGCAAGCCTGGCCTCTTGGAGCTTCTGTTCCCTCTACTATAAAATGGTAGTCTCTTATCTCTCTTAGAGAGATAAGACACTCATTTGTGTCTTTAGAAACATTCATGGGCTGGGGATTTAGCTCAGTGGTTTCGCCTCCTGCTGCGCAAGCGCAAGGACCCGAGTTCAATCCCTGGTACCAAAAAAAAAAAAAAAAGAAAAAAGAAACATTCATTCCTTTCCTGAGGGCCTGCTCTCCACAAGGCTCTGCCTATGTCTTAGGGACACAAAAGTAGAAAGGCCACATGAGGTCCCTGTTCTCATGGCGCTTGCAACCTATGTAGAAAAGACATTTATGCACATTTACACAAATAAATGCTTGGTCAAAATTGGGACGGTGTTTTCAGGGAAAAGATCTAGCACCTTCTGTGAGATCGAAATGAGACCTGCAGGATTGGCTTCAGAGGTGCCTGGGTGGCACTTCTGACCAAATGGGTGAGGAGTGGAGGCTAAGTGAGTGGCTGATAGCCCTCTAACAGACCTTAGAGAAAGGCCACTTAGTTGAGCTGGCTCCTATTTTATTCGGAGGCTTGTCTCCTGCCAGCCCCTTGAAAGAAGAGCCTAGGCTGGACCATGAGAGCCTCTGTTTCCCAGGGTGCAGTACCAGAGGCAGATGGGTGGCAAGCACAGGCTGCTTGGTGAGGAAGCCTCCCCGCAGAAGAAAGGACAGCCAGAGCTGGACAGTGACAGAAGTGACCTACTCCTGCAGTGGCTGGCTCTCAGGCCCTCCTTGGAGTGGCTGAGCATCTCATGTGTGCACAGCCTGGTGTGAGGACCGAGCAGGCGTGAAAGTGGCACAGGCACTGCCCTTGCAAGGCTCACAGTCTAGGGGTGGACAGACCTTTAGTTGGAGACCTCACCATGTGATCTCAGGGCTTCATGAGGAAGTAGGAAGTGCTCTGGGGCTAGGACACTCATACACAGAGCACGGGGTAAAAGAAGGCTTGGAGGAAGTGAAGTCTAATGTGGAGAAGAGAGTTGAAAGGGCCGCTGACAAAAGACCATAGAAGCTGGTATGTGTGTCTGGTTAAAGGGTTTGGACTTGACCTTGAGGGCAAGGGAATGATGTAGGTATTTGGGCATTTTCCAATGTTTGGTCTAGCTACAGCTCCAGGGAATGGACCATAAGGAATAGGAGAGGACACAGGCAGCCAGATGGGCAAGAGACAGGGGCTTGGAAGAAATGGTGAAGTGGGAAGGGAGAGGCTGGTGGCTGCTCATGGGTACAGGTGGGAAGGATGAGGCTGACCAGTGCAGGGAGGTGAACCACTTGGGACCTGGTCTGACTCCACAGCTGTGATCTTTCCATGGCATCCCAGGAGGTCTGGAGTCCAGTAGAGGCCTCGGAGTCTCCTCTTCCCTTAGGCTGTATTGAGACCGTCAGGTCTCCTGGGAGCTCAGACAATAGCTTATCCACCTTTCACCCTGCCCTATCCTAGTCCTTACCCTACAGACCTCTTGAGTCACAGACGCCATATCCAGGCTGCAGTTGAGGTACTTAATCCTCTGATTCAGTTTTTCTTTCCAAGTTCTGACACAGCCCAGGAGGTCTTCTGTGGTCACCACCTAGTGGGAACATGGAGGAAGAAAGCCCCAAGGAAGTAGCCTGTGGAGGGTGGACAGGTTCCACTGAACTGTAGAACAGGGCCTGGTCTGGCGAGGATGTCTCTCGGGTGCAGGAGGGCCCCAAGGGAGTGGGGAATGCTGGGATGACTCTCTCAGGCAGCTGTACTGGGGCTGCGAATCCTTCACTGACCAGGGCATGAGGAGTTCTGTTCCTGGTTCTGTGGGTTCAACTCTGGGCAAGTGACATAAACTTGCTTGACTCAGTCTCTTCATCTATAAGATAGAGACATGGAATATTTCGTAGGATCTCCTTCAGCTCTAATATTGTGTGTTTAGAAGGAAACATTTGGTGCAGGTGGCAAGGGTGTGTAGGAATGTGTAGCAGAGTAGACTGCCCATCACCATGGCAACACCTCCCTTGGAGGAGCACCCCACAGGTGCACAAGGACACTCCCTTGACCATCTTCACCCTCACCACATAGCCAAGGCATTGTTACTGTCTCCTAACCACTGCCCTGCAGACTGTAAACCAGTCTCCTCCAGCAACATAGGAACAACCTGCACCCCCAAGATGACACTGTCTCCACCTGCCCAGGAGGCTAGGCAAGCTCCTAGTATGCACCCAACACTTTGATGGAGAGGACAGATCGGGTTTGGGAGGGGAGGGAATGTGAAAGACTGAACGGTTCTGTTCCAGAGAGGCAGAGCTTGCCCTAAAGGGCCCGTTGAAAGGTCACAGTGGGTTAACCAGTTTTGTCTAGTCTTCAGCAGGTGGACTCATAAAGGAGACCAGGTAAGTAACTGGCAAACTATAGGAACCATCTTTTCTCTGCACAACCATGTGGAAGTGCAATCAACTCAGCAGATGTATAGAAATGTGCACAACAGATTTGAGAGTATCTGTAGAAAATGAGAATAGAGGGACATTTATTCTGCATTCTATGTTTTCTGGATGCTACTTTCCTCAAGAATCATGCATTACTATATAAGAATGAGCAATAAAGAAAGAAAAGTAAATGTCAGTGCTAACAAAAGTGCAACTGAAACTCTCTGTCTACTGAGATGGACAGGAAAATGCTGAACAGAGTGAGCAGGAAGCCTTCTACTCAGGACCCTCGGGCTGGGCCTTCTGGTTCTGGAGACACCTGGTTGGGCTGCAAAAGTAAGGTTCCTTGTGTGGCTAGGGCACATGTGGAATAGCAGGGACAGAGATGTGCACTCCCGGCAGGAGAACAAGCTGGTAGGTATCTAGAGGCCTGCTCTGCTGATCAGGGATCTGGGGACATTTAGAGTCACATTCCAGCCAAGCTTTTCTATAATTCTCACTTTTCACAGCTTGGAAACAGAAAAGCAATTTATGTGCAGTGATCAAAAGAAGCAAGTGAAAAATTAAACAAGAAGTGGCTGTAGGGAGGGCAGAGCCTTGCTTCTGCCATTCATCTGGGGCTGAGTTCTCAGTCCAGCAAGAGATACCTGGTGACATCACAGGGGAAAGAGGTCCAGCAAGCTGGACATAAGCCCCCACCCCACTGGCCTCCAGACGCTTCCCTGGGGTTAAGGAGGTGGTGAGGTGGGTGCTTTCTCTTTTCTTTTTTCCTTCATTCTGCTGAGTAAAACAGGCCATAAACGTAGGAGAACTCAGCGACACACCAGCTTCTGCGTGTGCTGGAGAAATCCTGTACCCAGATGTAAGTTTCTTTCAAGTTTATGATTCTGGCACAATACATCTTGACTACTCACATGCAGAATCTAGAGAACACTCACTGTCTTATCTCCTCTTGGGCCTCTACAAGCTTCTATCTTGCACTGAAGCTCTTCCAGAGAAGAATTTAATCCTTCTGTCTGCAAGTTGGATTTTGCCACCTAGAAAACCAGAGGTTCTGAAATTTTGTTTCTAGAATACATATTGTGATCAGGTTAAAGGTCCAGCAAAGTATCAGAGAAATTAAGCAGTGAAAAGATGAAATCAGGGGATAAAATATACAGTTATACCAGAAAATAGATCAATAGAAATTTTAAAAATGCTTTTACTATAAAATACTATAGTATTTTACTATAGTATTTCTACTATAAAATAGGTCTCTATTTGTTCATACAAGACTTTTAAAATATTTTCCTGATTAATATCTACTTGTATTACATTGAAATAAAGTTTTCATTTAAAAAACAGGTCTGATTTAATTGAAACTGGGCCCCCAAAGTGCGTTCAAGTGCGTAATAACCACCAGAAGACAAAAAGAGCTTTGGACAGTCCCTGCTTTGGCTAAGGTGGCAACTCTCAGAAGGCACCGAGGACGCAGGCAGAGTGGCTGTGCAAGTGCACTCACAGAATTGAGCATTTCCAGAAGGGAAGCCCACCCAGGGCCCCCTAAAAGGAATGCTTAGGAAAACAGCTGCACTGCACATCCGGGAGAGGGAAGTCATCCAAAGAGTATTTATTTATTTGTTTGTTTACTTGGTTTGTTTGTCTTGTTTTGTGAGAGGTTTTTGGTTTGTTTATTTTGCAGTACTGGGGATTGAACCTAGGGTCTTCACACTGAGCTATGTCCCCATCCCTTTTTTATTTTTTGAGATAGGGTCTCACTTAGTCACTAAGTTGCCCAGGATGGGCTCAAACTTGCAATTCTCCTACCTCAGCCTCTTGGAATGCTGGGATTACAGGCATGTGCCACCAGGTGTGGCTCCAGAGGGTGTTTCTGAAGGATTTTTAAAACGTATACAGCTTATAACTGTATAAATAGCAAGAGGTCAATTCAAATACACCCCAGCTTCTCACATATAGAAAGAATCTCAACAATAAATCAAATCTTTAACAGGCATTATGACTATATGTGGTAGAATCATGAATTAGTATCTCTTTTTTATCTTTTCCATCTTTTTCTTGGCAGGGGGTACCAGGGATCGAACTCAGGACTTGTGCTTGTGAGGCAGGCAGCAGAACCACTGAGCTAAATCCCTGGCCCTCTTTTCCATCTTTTTGATATTGCCCATGATAGAAATGCATTTTGCTTATGATACTTGTTACTAAAAATGCAACCCCTGCACAGCTGGAGGCCCATTAGGAATGTGCTCCTTAAACAGGGGAGGAGTGCCACACCCTATGGGCCCTGCTCCCTAAAGTGCTCCTCCCCCTCCTTTTGGAATGGGAACCTCCGCTGAAGCCTGGCCCCACACAGCCCTCACTATGCACCAGGGACCTTGTCAAGAGCTTAGCATGCATTTACTGCTCATTTAGCTAGTTTACTGGTGCCACAATCTTATAAGTTCCTTGTGTGGTTCCTGTTTTACTGACAGTGAACTAGGTGCTCCTGGGGTGACAGGGGCAGGAGGCAGGGACTGAGTCCTATCTCAGAGTCCAAGACTTCAGCAAACTTCTTTTATTGGAAGGCACCTGCTACTCTTAGGAGACAGGCCCATCTTCCACAGCTTGCTGTTCCAGCCCCAGTGGGTACTGGAACTGTGCCCTGAAGGGTATGCTGCTCTCGGTGGCTCTTCCTTATCCAGGCTGCTATTCTTTCAGCTTCACATTCCTGCCTCGCTCTCCAAAGAGCCCTCCTCCAATGTGGCCCTAAGTACCCAGCCCTGTCTGAACCCTCCCTGTCCCCAGCGCCTGAACAAGACCCTGCAGACCTCTTCACCTTTGCTCCCTCAGCTCCCCACTCCCTCTCACTCTCCCTGCTCATGGCACCTGCACCTCGGGAAATTTGTTTTTCCTCAATTGCAGGTTAAATCTTCTCCTGTACACACCCACAGGTCTCCCACACCTCTTCTTTGGGCCCAGATGGCCTGTTCATGGTTAAGGCTGTAATCTTTGGTGACAGTCGGAGCTGGGTCTACATTCTGATTCCATCAATAAAGAAGCCTGTGTTCCTGCCTAAATCAGTGAATTACTCTCTGCCTCAGTTTCAGGTTCTTTAGCTCTAAAATGAGGCTAAAACAGTGCTTGCCTCATATAGTTCTTGTGAGGATTACCATAGCTAGTTAAAATAAATCAGTTAGCAGGATGTGTGGTGTGCAATAATGCATTGAATGCAAGGACTGTTAAGAGTTACTTGTCTTTCCTAGCTAAAGGGTAAGTAAGCGGCCACTGTGGCCTCTGTGCCTGGTGTGCAGTTGTGTGTGATAAACAACCACGGGATGGGTAATGAGCCTGTCTTACCTGGCACTTGATGTTCACTTGTAGATTTGTCATCAACCTCTGGATTTTCTCCATGAAAACAAGGTCCACATACAGGTTATGAAATTTACTCTCAAATTTGTTGATGACATCATTGGCCTGTAGAGAAAGATAAAAATTAAAGTAGGAGGGCTTAATCTGAAAGAGGAGGAGAAAGGCTCAATTATGGCTTAGACAGGGCCATGACTCTCCCCTCAGAGGCCTGACTCAGGGGTAGGTTGGGCTCCCTGACCTGGTCCAGGTATTCACTCTCCATCTTCTCCATAGTCATTATGATTAAACTTTCAACAAACTCTATCCGAGAAGCTTCCTTCTCCAGTTGATGACACAGTGAGTTGATTTCTTCAGGGGAAAAGTTGCCTCCCTCTGAAAACAATCTAATAATAATTAGGGAGAAATAAAAGTCAGCAATAAGACCTGAACATTCCTGCCCTTCCCAAATGCTGTGTGGTTAACAACACACTTTCCCTCCAATCTTTAGACTGAAAAAGACGATGGAAAAATAAACACAGGTAGTACAAGCACAGGAACAAATATTAATGAGTGGTATAGGGTTTCTATTTGCATTGGTGTGTCAGACTGAGTACCCTGACAGACCCAGGTGAAACAAATAAAATGCTGGGTGGAATTAAAAATGGAAGAGTTTCTTGAGACCTGCGTGAAGATAAGAATTGTATGACATTCTCAGATGTAAAATCAGAGTGAAACATCCCCTTGGCACATGGGTAGGCTTTGAAGCTGAGATGTGCCTAGAAACTTTGAGTTTGAGTCTTGATGGCTGCACAGGGGGAGGGGACAGCAAGGAGCAGGAGCTGGACTCCAAGGATGATACTTTGGGAATGAGATTGCAGGAGTAAATGAACCCCCTTACTACCAAGATACTGCCTGGTCTAGATCCGAGGGGAGGGAGGAAAGAAAGCTCTTTTTCCCTGAGGTTTTGTAACCACAAACTGGGCTTCTTACACACTTATCAGGCTGAATTCATGTTCTCCAGAGTGATCCAAAAAGAAAAAACCTCAAGCAGAGATTTTTAATTGGTCCTAAATTGGTAATGGCCTCAGTTGCACAGCAGAAACAAGAATTCTCTTTAAAGGAACTCCATGTGAGTCTAGGCCTCAAGGAATTCCACAAATAAAATCCCAAGGAAAATGAGTGACTCATAAAACACACACACACACACACACACACACACACACACACACACACAAGGAAGCAAGATGCCATGAATGAGAACCAGAAAAGCAACAGAGAATAGAAGCAGGACCCCTCTCAAGATGTCAGACTTTAGAATTATCTGACATAAATTATAAAGTTAAAAAGTATAAGATGTTTAAGGAAATAAATGAGAAGCTAAAAAATGTGAACAGGAAACAGCCAGTTTGGCAAAAGAATCAAATACAAATAGAAATGAAAACTATAATGATTAAGGTTAAAAACCTCAATGAATAGATTTATCTGGAAATAAAACAGTAATGAGGGGATAAGTGATTAGGAAAAACAATAGGAAGAAATCAACTAGTTTGGAGCTGAAAAGTTCTAGAGTGATGCAGAGATATGCAGGACGGAGATGCCTAGCGTATGCCAAATTCTAATTCTAGTTTTGCAACTTTCCAAATTTTCATTTTAAAAAACTACACTTATAGAAAATGTTAGCAATATTTAAAACAAATGCAAGTCTTGCAGGTACCAGCATGGAAGGTTATTTATTGGCAGTGGTAGGGGCTGACAGTCAATATGTGTCCTAGGATTCCATTTCTTTATAAGACTAATGTTTTTTGGGGGGTTTTTTTGGCTTATGAATACCACATAGTAAATTTATTTTGGGAGGGTTTCCAATTTTTACTTTACATATTTCTGTGTTTGATTATGCTATAATGAGTAAAAGATTTTTAATTTTTAAAATAAGCTTTAAAAAACCCTCCAAATATAGCCTGTTGCAAATGTCAAAGACTAAATACAGGATCATTTTTATGCAGGAGTGAGTTAAAATCATGGGAGAAAAACACAGGGGAAAAGTGACCAAGAAGCACACAGAAAGACATCTGGCATCATTAATAACTAGGGTAATACAAATAAAAACCATAACTCAATACTACCTCATGTCCCTTAAAATAATTACTATAAAAAAGAAAGAAAATAGTAAACGTTGGTAAAGATGTAGAGAAATTAGAATCCTTCTGCATTGCTATTGGGAATGTAAAATGGTGCAGCTGCTGTGGAAAATAGTATGATGGTTCGTTAAAAACGAGAAACTTCCATCTGGCCCAGCAGTTCTACCTCCAGGAATATGCCCTAAAGAATTGAAAGCAGGGCCTTAAAACAGATTATTTGCACATCAATGTTCCTCACACCATTATCCACAATACTCCAAAGGTAGAAACAACCCAGATGCCCATCAGTATACAAATGGATAAACAAAGTGTGGTATATAGGCATAGTGGAGCATTATTCAATATTGAACAGAAAGATCATTTTGGTGCCTGATACAACATGGGTAGACCTTGAAGACATTATGTGTGCTCAGTGAAATAACCAGATAAAAAAGGACAAATATTGTAAGATTCCTCTTGAAACAGGTAACTGGAGTAGTCAAATCCATAGAGACAGAAAGTAAAATGGTGGTTGCCGGGGGCTTGAGTGGGAGAGAGAAATGAGGAGTCAGCATGCAATGACACAGAGTTAGATGAGAAGTTCTAGAGATGGCTGGGTGTGATGGGAGCACAACACTGAACTTAATGCCACTGAAGTGTACATCTATATGGGCCAAATAGTAAATTTTATGCTTCGTATCTGTTTGACAATGAAAAGTTAAGGGAGAAATAAGACCACCTCCTGGTAGAGAAACCTTGGTAGCTCAGAGGCCCCAGTACTGGCTCCCACCTGCAGTGCTTGATGAATTCCATGTTGGTGTAGCGGAGTTTGCCCAAGCTCTCCTCCAAGTACTGTCGAAAGCTGCGCAGGGACACCTGGGTGACATCTACATAGCTGAGCAGCTCCTGACGTAGTGTGCTGCTGAGAATGACCAGCCTGCAGGGGATAGAAGAGGAGCAGATGGTGATGGTGACCAGCCTGGGAGACATGAGAGGCTGGGCAGTGACTAGGGCCTGGGTGGGCTTCCTGGGACACTGCTTGAGCTCCACACACAGTGCCAAGCTGCAGGCCCAATAGAATCACTGCCCAGCTTCTCTGGATAGCAGAGGGCACTAGAAAGAAATTCAAAATGCCCATGTGTTGTTCAGGCCACCACAGATCACCGAGTGTGCTGGATCAGGGGGCATTGCTTTCCTCCCTCTGGCTGCTGCCACAAAACTGGTAGAAGAATTCTAGGTGCCATTGAATTCTTGTCCTCCCTCCAGTAGACTCTGACCCCCAGCAATGTGGCTTCCCCACTTTCGTGAAAGAGTACCCTGCAAAATTCCTTTTTATATCCAAGTTTTCTTGAATAGCTGCCTTTTGTGTGCCTGACAGCTGCACAGACACCTGCCAGGTTCTTTCCTGTGACCTGACTGAGGTTTCCATCTCATACCCGAGTGGCTTCCCAGGAGCCCCTTGCTCTTCCCTAACCCACAGCTTAGCCAGTGCTCCTTCTCTGCTTGGAAAACTCATCCGTCTCACTTTCCTCCATCCCACATCAGGGTGCCTCTGGGTTCATGCAAGGCCTTCCTGATTCCTCCAAGAAGTGGTCTTTCTCATCACAGACACAACCTTTCAGGGCACATCGTCTGTGCTCTAGCATGCTGACTGAATATGGGGTCTTCTCCTCCTTGGCTGCTCACTGCTCCCTCCAACACACACACACCAGATGCTGCCCACAGATTTTGAATCTAGATTCTCCTGAAGAGGTTAGCTCAAAAGCAGGCTCCTCAATGCCCTCTGCTCCTTTGCTAGCAGCAGCTTGGCTGGGCCTCTAGAGCCATGTGGCTGGGAGGGAGACCTCTGACCTCTTACTTTTGGCTCTTGGTGGTGTTCAGGAAGATGTGCTCCATGTCAAAGATCTTGCGGTGAAAGATTTTGCTCTTTGTGTTTTGCTCTTCTTGGAACTGGCAGAACATCAGCCTTTCCTTCTTCAGCATCTCCACCACCCCAGCACAGTGGCTGTCCAATTGTTCTTTGTGAAGCAAGAGCTCAGCTGCAAGAGAGTGAGGAGAGCTGAGGCCCTCCAGGACCGGACTCACCTCTGCACAGTCCTTTCTTGTAACCGTGCCTTCCCATTATCTCTCCTAGGCCAGCTACAAAGCAGGGACCCCTCAGGTCAACATTCCTTGTCCTGCCCACACCACCACCACCAGGGCTGGGAATGGGCTGTGATCTAAAAGAGAGCAATCAGAGCTTGGCCTGGGGTCTCTCAGTAGAGAGAAGGCTCTGCTAGGCTGTGAGCAGGGTGCTCCCTGATGATAGAGACCCCTGCCTGCTGCAGATAGACAAAGCTGGGAGATAGAGAGTCCCCAGGAGCAGAGGAGAATGAGTGGACAGTGCAGGAGGGCGCTCAGACCTAGGTGGGAGAGTCTGGTAAGGGGAGCAACAAGAAACACAAATCCAAGCCGTCTAGGTTTGTTCCTCTACATCAATGGATTCTCACGTCCAGTGAGCCTGAGTTCCAACTGGCTTCCAAGATGGAATAGAAAGAACAAGGATCGGGCTTCTAGAGCCCCACCAGAGGCCATTAGGGCAAGCAGAGAGCCCCCCAGGCCTCCCTGTTGTCTGCGGTGGAAGATCTGCAGTCCCACCTCTGACAAAGACAAATGTTACGACACTGGAATTCATCTCTCTGGCCCTATTGGTTTCTATACCATATATTGGGCCAGGGAATGGAGGAAGGAAAAGGAATCAGCCTTCAGGGAGCTTCTGCTCAGTACACATGCAGTCTTTTCCCCCGAATTCTTCAGTGCATTTAATGCACACATTTTTCCTATGAGAACAAGGAGGTTCCAAATGTTAGGCAAATTGCCCGAGGTTACAAGCATTGGGATCTGAGGCCAGTTTGACTGTATAACTTTCACTGCTCTGGGAAACAGGAATTTGGATTATGTAGCAGCTCTCTGTTACCTCTAAAGGGGGCTCTAGCTCTATGGCAGGCAGACCTTAAAGCACAATTTGAGTGAAACCAACCAACAGACTCACTGAAAGGTCCTATTAAGATCATGCCCCTCCTCCACTGAATGGAGCCTACTACCTAAGACAGAAATGGCCTGTCTTTTTAAGTATGATAAATACAGTAGAGATAATGGTTACAGCTTTTGGAGGCTGTGTATTATAACAGGTGCTCATGATACTTCATTATATCATTTCAGGAGGGTTAATTACCACTTCCAACTCCCCCTTCTGCAGGAAGGGAGGGACCAGAAATGTCAGGTAACCTGCTCAGTTACACAACCAGAGTTGAGTCTGAGAACTCTGATTTCTGAACAACAGGCTTAGCACTAGAGCATCCAGCATAAGGGTCTGTACCTGATCTGAAATCTAAGAGCTAAAACTAGATGACACTCATTTCATCCTCTAACACCTGCTTTTGAAAAAGAAGGCGTTTTTTAGAAGTCTCAAGTGAAGAATCTGAGTACTACCTTTCTCTGCAAGCTTAAGAAGTGCCAACACTCATGAACATCTTCCCCCTGTGATGATAATATGCAAAGCATTTCCTGGGGCAGCTAACAAACATGAGGCTATGGCGGGGGGGAGGGCAAGTCCTGCAGGAGGGGCCCGAGGGCAATGGGCTTCCCAGGCTGGGCCCACACCTGCCCTGACATTGTGGATGTCCTTCTCTATGTGCTGGACTCTTCGCTTGTGCAGGTGCAGACGCAGCTCCAATTCTGAATCCAGTTCACTGATCTTGGTGGCCACGATGACCCGGGCATTGAGGACACATTGAGCAAACCACTTCTCGAGGTGTTCAAAAAAGCCAGCTCGAAGTCTGGAGGAGAAACCAGCAAGGGTCAGCCCTGCTGGGAATTGTGACCTGGAAGATATCTTTCCATATTGAGACTCAAAGTGCTTCCCCTTTTCACACTTTCTTCCTTATTTTATTCCCTATTGATCTTGTATCTCATTGTGTGGTGGACCACCAGTCATTTACCCAGACCACTGCTGGAGGACTTCGGGTGGCTTCAGACTTTTTCTTACAAAGAAGGCTTTGATGAATAGCCTTGTACTTTTGCCAAGTATAGAGTTGTTTCTCCATAGATGTGGCCCTGAATTTGAATTTCTGAATCAAAAATTAAAATACATTTGCAGTTCTGGTAAATATGGCCAAACTGTTTCCATTGGAGGGCAACCTATATTCCCATCATCAAAGAATAATAGCATCTGTTTCTTCACAGCCTCAGAATATATTGTCACATTTTAAAATTTTGTCATATGTTGACTGAGCATACTTTCATGAGTTTGACTATTTAATTTCTTTTTCTGTATACCATCCATTATTGTCTTTTGCCATTTCTGTTGTATAGCTGTTCTTTTTTATATTAATCTCTACATGAGGCCCATTGACTTTGATGTGAGTTGCAAATATTGTTTCCCACCTTATCATGTCATCCTTTAAAAAGTTTATGGTTTTTAAAAGATTCTCCCAAAAAGAGATTCAATTCAATAACAAGAAAAACAATCTCAGCAGATGTCTTCTTGTGGAAGCTGACGAGCTTATTTTCACATTTATATAAAATATGAAGGGTCAAGAATAGTGAAGACAGTCTTGGAGGAGATCAAAGCTGGAGGAGTAAACCTACCAGATATTAAGACATAGTATAGAGCTGAAGTAATCAGTCAGTGTGAGGTAGTTGTTCAAGGGTAGACACAGGGAAATAGAAAAAAGGTATCAGTGCGGGAGAAGGCAGTGTATCAGTGAAATAGTGTATCAATAAATAGCAACTCTTATGGTGATCCCTGTGATCTTTGTACTAAAGGGTTATGGGGAGGAAAAATGATGGCCTATGGTGGAGGAAGGGGAAGGGTGGCATTTAAGTCAAGAGACATTTTAGTAGTGAGATGATGCTGAGGTATAGGAGAAAGAGTCCAGAGGCTAGACTTTAATCCTTCTGCCCCTTGTTTCTGGCCTCCTACTCATGCTAGACTGGTGAGGTGATCACAAGTTGATTAATTCTCAGAGGGGCAGGAGGACAATAGAAATGCCATTCAAATGGCAAATGCAAATTTCCATGTTTGGCCCAAACTCTAACAAAAGGTCCAGAAATTGGGAGTTAGGGGAAATAAATGCTCAAGGATAGGATTACAGGTCATTTCTTTATTCTTCATTGTTTTTTTTTTTCTGTTTTCTGCAACAAATATATCAATTAGTGCAAAACACCATACATGATGTGGTTTACATCTATAGAATTAAAAAAAAAAGAAAAGAAACCCTAAAATCACAGATGTGCCAAGAACTAGAACCCATGAGCATCTGGCAGAGAAAACAGCGTTTCTGTGTACAAGGCCCAAGCCCGCAGAGCACCCTGGGAAGGGTTTAGGGGGCACTCACACAGGATACCAATGACTACAAGTAATTCCTGCTCGTTTATTTTGTCAGTTACCTACTTTTAGATTTTTTTCAGCCTAAAATCTTTCGTTATAATTTATCTTGTGAATACAGCTCAGAGCAAATGAATAGCAAAAGAATTGTGTACTCACTGTTTCTTAATTTCTAAAACTAGTCCGGATGGAATTATCACTTGTTCTATGAACTTAGTGCTGGGAGTGTTGTTGATGAGTGTGGCTGAGAAGTTGGAGTAGGGCCTCCTAGAGCTCTCTTCTTTTTCCAGAGATAAGAGGACAAAATAAGTATTTCCACTGGAGGTTGTGAAGGACTCCATGTCCTCATAATACATCTCCTCCAGACTTTCTTCTTGAGCTTCAGCCTAAGCACATAACAAGACTTGGGAGTCAATATCATTCAACAAACTAGGAATGCTGATCACTTGACATCAAGTGATTTAAACCTGTGGGCCAAATTTTGCCTATAACTGTTCCCCTTCTCCTACTCCCCACCCGACAGCCCTTTAAAAATTGAGAAGTTCTATATAAAATTTTGGGTTCCCAGATTCCCTAAAAAAATATCAGAAAAGATGTCAATTCTGAGCCTTTATCCCATAGGGCATTTTTAGCTGGAGCTGTGAAATGGCTGGCTGTAAAGTCTTAATCATTTGTCATTATTTTTACAGTTGGACTCCAGCCCTCTTTTCTCTTCCTCTGTGGATATTTAAGTTTGGGATCCCTGCTCAAAAAGAAGTTTCATATACCAGTTCTTCTACAACAATGTAGGAAATGAATCTCTTGCAATTCTATAATTGTGGAATTTAACTTATTGTTTTGTGAGTCTGAATGTGTTATAAGATCAAGGATCAAGGTCTGTTCATATGAGTTACTGTTCAGCACTCAAAAGACAGCCAAGTCTTGATCTTTTGCGTTACACCACTAGTGAACAGGAAGAGAGAAAGAGGGGACAGGCTGAGGTGATGCAGAAGAGTCTGAGTGATCTGTACAATAAAGAGAAGCTGAGACAGCAAGAGACCAAGAGGGATGAGGAAAGCTGTGCAGTTGAGGGGTGACTCCAGTGTTGGTTGCAGGGACATGAGAGGAAAGTGAATTTAGAAATTATTGCTGTGAATGAAGAATTGGATCTCTGTTGACAAAAATAAAAAGGAATGAACACCTCTGTCATTCTTAAATGTACTTCTATGGAGACTGGGTCACTGGGGACCCCAGCTTATTTGAGCAATATGCCAACACCCAAAAATGAGCCAGTGGCTGGCCTACCTCACCCACGGAGGAACTCTCTTGTTCTTCCTGTGCTTCCTCCTCCTCCTCCTTTGCCTTCTCCTTCTCTTCCTGAACCTTCAAATTTTCCAGGCTCAGGGATGCTTTTGAAGAGTTCTCTCTTTCATCCTGCATTTCTTCTGATCCTTGCACAGAGCTCTCTCTGGACTCATCTATCTGGTCACTCAGCCCCTTTTCAGTTCCAGAGGACACCATTTCTTGACCTTTTTCTTCTTCTGTCTCTTCTGTTGGCCTTGAAGAATCCATCCCTCTACTTTTGCTTTCTTCACTTCTGCTTATTTCTGCTGTAGACCTTTGTCTTCTCCTTATCTTCTGCAGGAACTGCTTTTCATGTAACTCTGTCCATGACCAGCACCAAAACACAAGGAGAGACAAGTTATTAGTGTTGCCTGGGTGGGACCTCCCAACCCAGAGATGTACAGGAGTGAAGTCAGGGACAACAGGACTTGAATGGTAAAAGTGTTACCTTGCTGTCTGACTTTGAAAACGACTTCCCCAAGCAAGTTCTACAAGAGAAGAACAGGAGTTACTGAGGGACCAGGGCTGCCCTTCCCCAGAGTGTCACTTCTAAGGGCATCACTTCTAAGTGAAAGAACTCTCCCTTCTCCTTCAATATATCTTGCAGCCTGAGCCAGCTTCATTCATTAGGGGTAATCAAGGTGTTCCTGATCCAGGGAGCTGGCTTTCCTTAATTCCAGCCAGGCTAGAATAACCTTACAGGACACACTGAGCAGTAATGAAATAAAATCTCATTTTGACACATTGTTCTAGTGATCTAGAGAAAAGAGAAGAAAAATGTAAATTGAGGGATGGAACCAACGGGGTAAGAATCTGTTGTACTGGGTGCTGGATGGGACAGAGTGAGCCTGATTTACATGATCCTGATTTACTTTCCCTGTTTACTCAACACATTCCTTGTTTCACAGACTCTGGGTGAAATTGAATATATTCATATGGATGACAGTGTGGTCTGTGGAGTTTGCAGGTCTAGATTTGAATTCTAGCTCCTTATAAGTGGAGTGACTTTGGAGCAAGTCCCTTGACTCCTTCTGTCCTCTTCTGTGAGACAGGGATCACATAAACATCCATACCTTTTATCCAGGCAACCAGGATGGTCTGAAGGACAGACAATGAGCTCACCTTCCTGTGGGCTGAGCCTCCACCTCTTCCCCAGAATCGTGGGGAGCATTTATTAGCTATCTCAACAGGGATCCCTTTCAAGGGGGAGACTTTCCAGGTTGGTGCTAGGTATCCCCCACACATAGGAAGCAATCGGTGTCAACAACAAGCATTTTCACTCTGGCCAGGAAGGACTCTGGCTATGTATGTGAAAAGAGGGCTAAACTCTGGGTATTCAAACCAGCACATTCCAGGGATTTGTGTGCTTACTCACAGAGCATTTTTTGTATCTGAATTATATGCAGGGCTCTGTGCTAAAGGTAAATGAAACTGAGTAACAATTAATAAAGCATACTAGTCCTTTAGGACAGCATTTTAGTTGAGTGTTCTGAACTCCTATATCTGAAAGCAACCAAAAACAAGCAAGTTCAGAGACTGAAGAGGTGGCAGGAGGTGAGGATGGTAAGGCTGAGTGGGTAGGATCCTTACTCCTGGTAGTAGACTGGGAATAGGGGTCTTTGGGGAGTATGTGGAGAAGATACCAGCAGAGAAAACAAGATGACGAAGGGCCACAGGCAGGGGCCATATGCAGGAAGGGGGATTTGTTGCCTAAGACATGGAGAGTCAAGGAGGAAGCAGAAAATAGGGGGTCTCTATGATTACCTAGAGATGGTGTTTCGGATTTGGTGGGAGCTGCAGATTGGTGAGGGACCTCTGCTCACTCTGCAGAGTGAGCAGGTCAGAGTTCAATTTTAGGACAATTGTATAGCAGTGGTAGTTATGATGAATGCAGCTCCAAATGTCATATAAATTAGCCTTTTTACTGTCAGTCCATTAAAGCCTGGAGCCTGTCTAAACCTCCTTTAGATTGAGAAGGAGATGGTCTCTTTTCAGCTTCTCTCTTCTTGACATCCTCACACGAATTTGTACTCTACAGCCTTAGGAATGACTTCCAGTGTCTTGGCAGATCAGATGAGAAGTCACCCTCTACTCTCTGCTTCTTCATAAGTGGCTGAGGGTATCGGGTCCCTCTCCATACCTGTTCAAAGATTTCACAAGTGAAGAAATGTTGGCTGAGGTTGGAGCTGTAGGAGTTGAGTTCTTCCAGTATCATCTCTGGGTACTCCATCACTTCCTTGGTCAGGTGGATATGAAAGCACTCATACCTGGGAGGGAGGGAAGTAAGGTACTGTCGAGGGGGTGCCCAGTGGAGTGTGGGAGGCCCCAGCCTGGAGCCACACTCTTGACTCCAAAAAGGTAGCCTGAGATCTGCCATTCAGCACTGCATAGAGCTGCTGGGAGTTCCTTTCACAGAGACAGTCCTGGGTTTGTTTGCTATTTTACTGATCACCCAAGGAATACATGCTCTTTGTAGAAAATTTAGAAACCACACATACAAAATTTTCTACTTTAATGCATGCTCCTTTTTCTTGCCCATAAGATTCTTCGTGGAATCTCATGCTTGAACTTCACCTATGTTATCCCATCAAACTCTCAAACATCCCAGGCCCCAAATTTTATGTTTCTCAGGTAAGGAGACCAAGGCTCAGTAGGTTACTTCTTTGCCCAAAGTTTTACTTCTGGATCTAAGTAAGCACTACAGTCAATTGAAGCGTAATTCCATTTCTGTGAATTGTCCTTACAATTAGTTGTACAAAGGTACAAAGATACAAGGAAGTTCACAGAGAACTATCTGTAATACTCTACTGAGAAATTGGAACTAATTGAAAAAGCTAATTAATTGAGAGATATTAAATCATTATGAAGTATCTATATTAAATTTCACATGATCACTATCCATTCCTTACATTAAAAACACTATATGTGTGTATATATCCACGCATACAAATATGTCCGTCAAAAAGAATAGTTGGATAGGAATAAGGGGAAAGTCTGTTTGTAGTGGTGGACTTTTCCCCTCCTTAACAGAGAATACATGTTTAACTTTTAACTTTTAAAAAGAGGGGTCTAAGTTCTTGACTTTTAAACTACTTTACTCTATAAACCTTCCAAAATTATCTCTGGACATTTTGGTATTGGTTGCAAGCAGAGCTGCAAAGGATAGTGATGTTCTCCAATGCTGGAGGCCCAGTTTTATCTTTGGCTTGCTTGTGAGCCTGAATATGAATCCAGGCCATCCCTTCTCTCATGGGGGCTGGTCAACCTACCTGGATTTTATGTTCTTCAGAAAATTTCTGGCCTTTTCCAGGTATATCTTCAGTGTTTCTTCCTGGCTTTGCTGCCTCAGTTGGTCTAAGAGCTTATCAAAGTGTACCTCCTGGGCCTAGAAGCCACCCCCAAAACAAGAAGAAGCATATATGAGTTACCGGTGCCTGCAGAGTTTAAGTGACATGCAGAGACCCTGACACTGGATCTGAGGTCCAGGCAGCTGGGGAAGGCCTGGGACCCGCTTTTCTTTAAAAACAAAGGGCAATAAACCTGCTACCACTATCATTGTCTTCACTATAGGCTTATGGTTCTTCTTTGTGCCTGGAATATTCTTCACTGCCTACTTTACTCCCCTGGGACCTAGCTCAAATGGAACTTGTCAGGAACATGTCCCTCACACTCACCCTGCCCGGCCAAGCCCATGCTACACATTCCAGAGACATCAGCTCCTCACTCTCCTCCCCAGTCATACTCGAAATCACATGCTGAGTTTGTACTCTCTCCACCTGGGCTGTGAGGGCAGGGGCCAGTTGATCTGTAGGGGCTGGGGATACTTCATTCTTTTGTTATATATCCTTGAAAAAATACCAAACGCTTACATGGTTTGTTATGAGAATGATATGCTTTGCTGTGTTATGAACTTGAAGTCCACCCCCCTCTCACACACACCTTAGAGAATATGATGTTTTATGAGACCCCATTTGTGAGAACTTGGAGCTATTCCTTCTCCCCTCAGGAATGTAATGGTGAACTCCCCACCCCTCAGGAAACTTATGTCACATCTTATCAGGCCCAATACATGAATTACTGTCCTAAACTACTGGTCTTTAATGTGCATATAAACCTGAAAGTTTGGCGCACACTTTGAAAGCTCAGGCTGTGACAGTTTTCACTGTCATCCAATACTCTGTAGACTGGTGGAGCTCAAGCTGTGACAGGCTCGGAGCTTTGACGCTACCAGGCAGCATTGGCCTTACCTCTAGCATGGAGGGGCCTGCCTGCTAGACTTTATTAGATGTTTTTCCATTGACATGAGCAACTAGATGTAACTGATTCTGGAACTCACTCGCCATGGAGTTAATGAACCTCACCTATCAAGTGTACTCCCTGTGAGGTTGGTTCATGTTGTTCTTAAATATTGTGAACTGAAACTCCTTGTATGGCAGCAAACTGCGATTCATGAAGTCATACTTTGACCATCTCCTTATTTTGACCATCCAGAAGGCCCCCCAGTCTGTCTGTCTGTCTCTGTCATGCACACTCTTATAGACAGTATCAGTTCTGAAGACTCATCACTGACTGGGTTCACTGTCCTGGCCTGAGGCAGCTGGCAGTCTGGGAGTGACCCATCCCTCATTCCTACCCAGGGTTCCCAGGGCTTGGGGGCACCTGGTTCTCCAGCTTGTGCCTCTGCCTGTGCTGCTCCATTCTCTTCTCGAGCTCCAGCTCCTGCTGTGACAGAATGCTCTGGTGCACCTCCCAGAGCTGCACAGCCTCCCGGAAGTACCTGAAGAGCTCTGAGCTCTGCCACTCTGTCTGCTTGGCCAGGGCTTCAAAGGAACTCTGCAGTGGCAGAACCAGGGTGGGAGAGTTGAGAGCTGACCAGTCCAAGGCCAATAGGAGGGCCCACTCATGGGGCCCCGTGTCTCTGAGACCCGAAAGTCACTGCCCAGGCATCACCCTTCAAGGTCAGCTTCTGGGCCATTTCTGGCCCTCCCTCCTTGGTCTAGAGTTACCATCCCCATCTTGGCCTGTGCTTCTTTCCTTCTCTAGCATTCCCTGTCTCACAGGTCTGGGGTGAACATCATACCTGCTGCTAAATCCTCATGCATCATTCTGCCTTTTAAAACAAAGTACACTTCTTATGCCCTCATCTGGGTCAAGGGTTGGCAAACAGTAATCTGCAGGCTAAATTTGGCCCTCCACCTGTTTTTGTTTGGACCTGTGAGATTAACACTGATTTTCTAGTTTTAAGTGGCTGAAAAAGAAAAAATTTTAAAAAGAAAAAATACTGACGTGAAGATTTATGAAGTTCAAATTCCTGTGTACATTAATAATTATTGGAACATAGCCACACCCTTCGTTTCTGAAGGAAACAAAGCTGGACAACTTCTAACAGAGACTTGATGGCCCTCTGAGCCTAAGATAATCATTATCTAGTGCTTTGCAAAAACCGTATAGTGGCCCTGGCTCAAGATCATAGACTTGGGGCTGGAGGCTTCTTGCTAATCTGTAGCTCTCTGTACTCAGGGGCAGCAAAGACTCAGGTGCCCTCCTGGCCTGAGATTTGTCATCTCCTTGGAATCTGGGCAGCACCCATGTCAGGGGTGGCTGTGAGGAGTTGGGGGATAAGCTCTGAGAATGGCAGGTGAAAGCCAGGAAGTAGGCACACCAGAGCCGTGCAAGGTAGAAGACCCCAGTCCTCCACTCTCCTTGTGGCCTAGCAGCCTGGGGAGACCACCCCACGTCGAGGGTCCCAACTGTTCACGCACATCCAGGAGTTCCAGCTCCTCTTCCACCTTGCTCTGGAGCGCACCCACTATCTGGAAGGTTGGGCTCACCAGGTTCTCAGCCTCTGCTTCGGTGAAAGCCTTCCAGTCCAGCAGCTGTGCCTAGGGAGGCAGAGCACCTGATGGGTACAAGCTGCATCCTACAGGGCCCCCACCCAGCTGCAAGGTGAACACGAGCTCCCAGTGATTCTGCTCCCTTGGGGCTGAATGGCAGGGCAAAGGTGGCTGGAAGCACCCAGGGAGCAGCAGGACGTCCAGGGGAGTCAGTGGGACCCTAGGGCTCAAGCACTCTTCAAAATGAGGAGGCTTTTGGGAGGTTTTCACCTAAACAGCTTCACCAAGTAGTCAGGGAGGGGACATTCTGACAAAATAGTCTCCCTACCCCAGAAAACCAGTCACTGTCCTGGAGGGGTTCTGAAGTAAACTCATTATCTCGAGATAGGCAGGATGGAGAGAAAGGTGGGGCTGGACAGCAAGGAGCAGCAAAAGGACACTGCAGTGACCCCTAGGATGCATACTCCACTAATGAGCAAGGCCAGTGCTGGGCGGGACACAGAGAGTTAAGGGTGAAGTCTAAGGAGGCCCAGAGCACACAACTCCATCTCACAGTGGATTCCTGAAGAAGGTGGCATTGAGCTCCTGAGGGACAGCAGGGACAGTTGGAGAGGGGCCTGGGCAGAGGAAACAGAACTAGAAGCTGGTGAGTGCTAGGGCCTGGGAGGAAGGAACAAAAGTCAGTGTCAAGGCTGAAGGGTATCCAGGAGGGTGGAGGCTGGAGAGGGGCCCATCAGGCCCAGATGGGGTTCCTCTTCCCACACCTGCAGGGGGATGCCCACCTTGCAATTCTGCACTTGGGACAGGCACTCCTGCCATGTGTTTTCATACAGCAGGCGGACCCGCATCATGCAGTCCATGTGGTAGGTGTCTCCAGGACGGAAAACCAAACAGGGGGAGGAAGAGTAGCTTCTTTGTAAAGGGAAGCTGTCCCCCCCTACTCCCAGAAAACATCTTTACAGATCACTTGGTGGTCTCTGTTCAGAGAAGGGGCTGGTATCTCCCTCCTCACAGAGTTCCAGGTACCCCAAGATAAGGACCTCACAAGAGGAGCCCATCTCTGTCCTGAATGCTTCTGACTCTGACAGTCTTTCTCTATTACAAGAGGACAATGGTACCATTAGCCCTACTGGGTTGCTGTGAACCTCAGAGGATGGAAATATTATTATACATCTTCTGATCTTATATGAGTCCTCAGAGCTTAGTCATCTCACCACAATCCTCCTTCCTTCCCAGAATGGAGGTGCCACCCACCTCCTCTCAGATAAAGGACTGCTGGGCTGAGCTATGCCAAAGCCACTACCTGAACAGAGTTTTAAAGAGATCTGAAAGAGCCCCACAAACATCACTCACCAAGCTCCTTGTTCAGGGCATTGAGAGAAGATTGCCATGCGGTCAGCTTGGCTTTGTTGTAATTTGGGGGCAAGAGGTTACTGGAGAGGGAAGATATGACAGGCAAATCATCATGCACATGACCTTTACTTGCCAAAATGGGTAGCATCTTTGAGAAACATATTATTGACTAAATACTAAAAAGCGGGGGGAGGCTGCTGGAAATCTCCTGGTGACAAAAACATGCCTCACAAAAAGATCTTTTAATATTAACAAGTTGTTCCTTAGAAAATAAAACAATTTCTGAAAGAAGTGTCCATAGCCTCTAAAAGGTGCCCTGTCTGACGGCAGCAGCTTCCTCACTGACCTCCTGTCCCCCAGTGTCAAACCCCTCTGGCCCCTGCTTCCAGCCTGCCCCAGGACAAGGGCCAACCCCTGGCCCTGGCCCACCAGCCCTGTGAGCCCTGGCCCCTGCCTGCCCCTCCCCATCATTATCTCCTGTCTCATTCTACGGCTCAGCCACACTAGGTTTCTTTCTGCAGCAAAGGGGGCCAGGTTCTTTCTCATCATGGGGACTGAGATGCCTGAGAACATGGGTCCAGCAGCCAGCTCAGGACCAGAGGACAGGAAGATGGACTGTTCTGGGGGACACCATGTGGGGAAGGCTGGGGTCCTCACCCACTGGGCCCTCAAAGGCACCCATACCAGATGGTGCAAAGATGCTCCTGCCGCTTCTGCTGCAGGACACCCTGGGTCTTCAGCATTTCCACCAGCTCCTTCTGTACAGCGGGAGGAGACTGGATACTCTCATTGGCCATGAACTCACTGGTGGCCAGATATGTGGAAGAAGAAAGGAGGAGAGGGCAGGAGTGAGATGAAAGAAGACTCATAGCAAGAATGTTCAGAGCCTTGACTTCCACACCCCGGCCCACCCCTAGCCTCAGCCTCCCCTCTGGGACCCTGAGGAGAAGAGCAAGGTGGTGGCAGGAGGAAGGAAAGTGGGGTAGAACTGGCAGACTTCCACTGCAGCCATGGTACTAGCAGTGGAGGACTAGCAGGCTCCAAGCCAGCAGGGATCCTGCCTGCCCCTGCCTGCTCTGTGAGCTTACATAAGTCCCTCCCCCCACTCTGAGGCTCAATTTGCTCTTCTATAAAATGGAGCTGATGAGAGCTCTCTCCTCATTTGGTACTTGTGAGGACACACAAGCAAAACCCTTAGCACCCATCATGCCTGGCTCAGGGGCAAAGTCCAGTTAAAGGCCAGCCATCACCATCACTGTTGACATTTGTTAGTATTTGTAACAAATCTCCCAGCCCTAGGCCCAGACAGAGCTTTCCATGTTGTTAGTATATCACTAAAACCCTATCGCAGGTCCATGAGTGTGCCTGTTTTATACACGAAGACAAGCTCTGAATGTTCAAGGACTTGATCAAAGTCACACACAAAGGCAAGGTGGAACTAGGCCTCAGTATACTTTTTGTTCATGTACAGCAAAAATGCCACTTGGCTGGCAGAAGAGCAGAGATGGGCTCTCTCTCCCTCTGCCTCCCATGGGGGAAACTGCCCCAAAGGGTTGGAATTATTGACCTGAAAGATATCTGTCCTCCTGGGCCCAAGTATCTCAGGTTACTGATAATAATGAAGACTAGAAATTATACAGAAAATCAGATGAATGTTTTCCCAAATGCTTATGAAATAATGTTCATGAAGAAAAATAAAACATAAAACTACGTATTGCATATGGATCTAAAAAAACCTGAGAAAAATAACATGCCCAAATATTAGCTGTGCTTTTCCCTGTGGGGAGGGGTTGGTAGTGATTTCTAGTGTCTTCTTGATACTTTCATCCATTTCTAACTTTATTTTTATTTATTTATGTATGTATTTATTTATTTATTTTTGGACCTCACGCTTGCACGACAGGCGCTGGAACGACTGAGCTAAACCCCTGACCCCATTTCTAACTTTAGAAAGAAAAAGAGAAGCATGATTAAGAAGTGACAGAAAAGGCAATAGGCAGCCCGTAACCTGTGCAGCCCTGGTGGCTTGGGGAAGGCTGTGGGCTGTGCTGGCACTCCTGACCTGAAACCCTGCAGCAGCACCTCCTTCTTGAGAGTCTTCCAGGCATCCACCAAACCCTGCCAGCGGTGGCAGCTGTCAAGTTCCTTCTGCAAGGCAGCCTCCATCAGGTTGATGTTCAGCTGGGTGATGGCCCTTCGGTTGCCCAGTAAGGCATGGTTAATGATCTGTGGTCACAACCAGACAGGGCTCTAGATGGAGTGGTGCTCTCTCACAGCAAGGCACAGTTAGGGAGGGGCAGGAGAGGCTGCAGAGCCAGGGAACGAGCAGGCCAGGGCTGAGAGGAGCCACTGTAGGGTCTGAGGAGTCCTGAGGGGCCAGCACACAAGAAAGCAGCTATGGACAGCAACAAGTGGCTTCCTTGAAGGCTGAACCATAACCCCGACTGCATGAGCTTCAGCCCAGCTCCAAGGTCACACTGGGTCATTCACTAAAGAAAGTGGAAGAGCCTAAGCACTCTAGTGGGCTGTAAGTGTTCACTGTGTTTTGCAAATTTGGTAAAGCAGAGTGCTCATGCATCAGGGACCAGCCACATATTGTTGCTTTGAGAACAGAGAACCAATGACCCACTGAGACCAGAATCAGAACATTCTCTGGTGTCCTTCCCAGTAGTTCTCTCTTGAGCACCCTAGGAATGGGGCCGAGGACAATCCTTTATTGTGTGGCACTATTCTGCTCTTTCATATCCCTGTCACCTTTAAATGAGAGCCCAGAAAAGCCTCAAATGCTGCCATATATTTCCCAAAGTCTCTAGAGAAGTGACAACCCTGCCAGACTCAGCAGGAGAGAGCCTAGCCCTGCTTCTCAGTGCAGCCTGAAGCTTGGACTTGGTAGCTGGAGGTATTCACAAGTATTTCCTCATTGTCCAGGTCCTCAGCCTATGGGGACACAGCTATTTACAACATAGGAATTTTGTGCAATCAAATGACATAAAGGCACACAGAGCAAGTATTGAGCGCTATTTGTTTTAGTGAGAGAAATAAGCACATGGCAATGAAATATTGATCTGGACCCTGCAGACTCTGACTCTCATGGAGAAAATATCTAAAGTCTAGGACAGTCACTTATCTTGGAGTCCTCTGTTATCATCCTCATGACAAGTCCTGGCAGTAAGTATTGTCATCCCTCTTTTATGGACAAGGAAGTTTTAGGCACAAGGCCTGAGTCACTAGGAGCTTCCATTCTGGGCAGTGGAGAGGGAGATCTGTGTCTTTCCAGGCCTGTGCTTGTCCAGGAAACCACACCATAGACTTGGGATGGCCCCAGCTGTGATTCTGAACACTGTGCTCCCTTAAGCTTGCTATCCTGCCAGGCAGACATTATCTGGCCAGCTCAGCTCTGCACGGGAGCAGGAAACCCATGAGAGTGAGCTGTGCCTCTGAGCAGCCAAGAGTTCTTTCATGCAGTGGAGGGAGGCAGCCTTTGTTCTGGCTTTAGAGACATCATGAACAACCATGAATCTTATTTTCAACTGGTGAGAACAGCACCCGGGGGAGCCTGGGGTGAGGAGACAGAGCCAAGAGGTGGGTGTTGTTCAGCAACAGACACTGATGGCCATAGAAGGAGAGGAAGAACAACTAGAAAAACCATACAGAGCAGGTGGGGCATTGCTCTTGAGGGTGGAGACCCTTGAGACCATGAAGCCCCAAGATAACCCTATAGTGTAGCATTTACCGCATTGCACACAGTATCTGAGACACAGCTGAGTAAGTGCTCAGTTGGATCATCAGTGCTCAAAACAATGGCAGCATGTTAGGCATGCCCATTTTAAGGTGTCAGGAAAATGGGAAGTGTACTTCACAAAGATTTCTGTTGAAAATGCTTACAATTGCAAAGACCTAATTCCGAACTTAACTGGCCCACTAAAGTTACTTAGAAATGTAACAGATGAGAAGCCTAACATTCCTAAGACACCAGACTTGGGGCACCCTGGGGTCCTGCTACTTTTCCTGTGGGCTGAAACTGCCCCCCCCCCCAAGCAGATTGCTCACCATGGCTTCTTTATTTATCAGCTTGTACACATCAGGCTGCAGGAGGTAGGTTGTTTTCTCTATGATTTCCACATATTTCTTCAACACACTCTTTAGCTAAAGAGGACAAGGCACTACAGTTAGTGACTCTCACTTGCTGGAGCACTAACAGTATGCAGAAGGATGTCCATTAACTCTGCAAGTGGAAGTCGCTCAGAAGCCCACCAGCAGCCAACTCACCTTATCCGCTCGGGAGAACTCTATTGAGAGCAATGTTTCATCCAGTTCCTTAATCTCCTGCTTCTGGACCAGGAACATCTCAGCCACCTTATCCCATAGCTCCAACAAGGTCTGCACAGGGGAGCTGGATCAGGTTGGGGGCTACTAGAGTAGGGGTGGGGAGAGCAGGTCAAGCCATAAAGGAAACCCCTACTTGGATGGTATAGTCCTCAAGGCTGGTATCATTTTCCACCTTTTTGAAGAGACTGTTGATGTCTTCATCAGACTCAGACAGCTTTTTCAAAAAATGTCCCCCTGTCTCCAAGATGAGAGGTTCCATTTCCTGCAACAGGCCAGGTGGGTGATGGCATCAACATTCTCAGGCAGGAGAGGGCTCTCCTTATAATGGGGAAGTGCCAGGCATGATTCTCTCTCAAAAACAATCAACACTGCCTAAACCTAAGGATTGCTAATTAACTCACACCTGGAAGACAGCAGCCCCACACCACCCACTAGGCACTGTGCCAGGCTTGTGCCCTCCTTCACTCCTGTGGGTTCTTGTCCCAGGGTAAAGGAGGTGCTGACTTCAGGCGCTGGCCCAAAGTTGACACCCAACAAACACTGTATAAAGAAGTGGCCAAATAAAATAATCCCCTGTTTATTTCAGACAAGGAAACAGAGGCTCAAGTAGGTCCCATGACCAGAGCCAAAGAGCCCATGGGTGATAGTAAAGGTGGCATTTAGTTGGAAGATACTGAGGGACATGGCTAACAAATCTGTTCTTGGTGCTTCGGGCTCAAGGTGGGCAGCATTTAAGCTTTGAGCCAGGGCAACCAAAGTCAGAAAAGATGTGGGGAGACAGGACTCAGAGAAGACTTGGAAGGGCAGGGGCTGGCCTTGTTCAGAGACTATTCAACTGGGGCAAATCATCCAGCCCCTCATTAGCAAGACTGAGTAGAAGGTCAAAGGCTGCCAGACCTGGAGTGCAGTTCTAACCTGGCCCCTTACCTCCCTAGTCAGGCAAGACTTTCTAGGCAACATGGCAAAATGGGGTAATAGACCCTGACTTACAGGGCTTTTCAAGAGTTAAGGCGACCTACATTCACAACAAGCACTGGTCACCAGCCTGTCAAACATGGCTACTATGATTCCATCTGCATCTACTCTATGTCTTGGTGAGCCACTAAGGGCCTCCTTGCGGGGGAGAAGAAAGGAAGCTGGGGGTAATGAAAAACCCACCCCCAGAATGCCACAGGAACAGAGGGCAGAGGGGCTGAGCCTCACCATCCCAATCTGTGCGATCTCCTCATGAAAGCTTGCCAGAGCATTGTCGTAGTTCCTCCTCTTGCGTTTTTCTTGCCTCTCTAAGGTGATGGTGCTCGTCCTCTCTGGCACTGTGGAGCAACAACAGAGGTGAGAAGGCTTCAAGGGGAGGGCAGTGCGGCCAGGAAAGGCAGAGTGGGGGGTGTAGGTAGAGTGCACCTGCACACCAGGTGGGAAGTCAGGTCGACCCCGAAGCCAGGCCAGCAGAGCAGAGGCTTGAAGAAAAAGAGAAAAGATGCAGGTGATTTCTGAGAGCTACATGGAATAAGGTCTCCAGCATACTGTTAAATACCAAAAAGCTGTGGGCTGTAGCTCAGTGGTACAACATTTGCCTAGCGTGTGTGAGGCCCTGGGTTTGATCCCCTGGACTGCAAAATAAGTAAACAATACATAAACAATAAATGGCATCTATGGAACTGTAAAAATTTATGTTTTTGTAAAAAATTTTTTAGAGGTACAGATACATATATAGGTGCTTTCCAAATTATAATAGCATTAAGTCCTGATAAGCCTACTGTAAATCAAGAATATTATAAATTGAAGATGCATTTAATGTACTTAATTATCAAATATAATAACTTAGCCTAACTTACTTTAAATGTGCTCAGAACACTGCCCTTAGCCTACATTATGCAAAATCATCTAACCCAAAACGTATGTTGTGATAAAGTGTTGACTAACATGTAATTTATTGAAACGTACTAAATAAAGGTGAAAATCAGAATATGGTATGGGTATGCTTTTGCACCATTGTAAAGTTGAAATATTGTAGGTTGAACCACCCTAAATCAAGGGCCCCATGTAGAAATAATAACCAACACACCCAGAGCACTTACCGCCTAGCAAGTGTTGTTCTACCTCCATACCGCTTGGGATGAGGCCAGGAGACAGTACTATCACTTGGCTCATGTTACAAGTGAGGAAACTCAGGCACTGGGGTAAAGGCTGTGGCTGAGCAGGGATTGGGACATGGACCCCTGGCCCAGTGGTCAGCATTCCCAGCCCATGCTTTACCATGTCCTGCATCCATCTGGGAAACTCGCTACCTTGTGGGTTAGGTGGCTCTCTTGAGAGAAGAAGTACTATTCTGGAAGGGTAGTTTTACTTTCTGCTTTATTTCTCTCCTTTATTTTTCTACAATATGTGTGGGTTACTTTTTTTTTTAAACTTTTTAAATCATAAAGACAAAGGGAGTTCATATTGAGATAACTAAGACAATGTCATAGGAAGAAAGAAAACGTGGATAGAGAAATGCCACTGTGAAATCAAGGTAAGCGAACAACATCCTTTAACCAGCTGCTTTTCCTAGGAAATGCCCAGTGTGCAGGCTGCTGCCTAGTGACTGCCCAGCTCCCTGTGGAGGGGAGAACCCTGGAGGGAGATGCTCAGGGAAAAATACCTTCTGAGGGGCTGAGCGAAGAGCCCAGTGTGAGCTTCAGGGGCTTTGTTAGAGGGACGTCAGGAGACATCCCGCCTGGGGCTCCTTCCTACCCAGCACAGACCTGTGCTCCAGGCTGGACCAAAGCTCACCAATGGTGTCCATGAGGCCCCGCACTTCTCGGGCAGCAATCTGGCTCTCACTCTCTCGTGCCTTTTCCCGTCTGGTTTTCTCCTTTTCCCTGAGGCACAAGCACAGAAGAGTAAGCCCTGGCCCCTGACCCCACAGAGGACAGCTCTAGTACACAGGGGAGCATTCAGAGGGACTGCAGGCAGTGGCAATGGCTCTGGGCCACCTGATTCCAGAAATCCCCAGGGCAGTGCCCAGTCTCCCAGCAAACACTTCCTGGGTGTCCTTGGCCAGAAGAGGCTGCAGGCTGGAGATGGAGGTTGGGTCCCTGCCCTCAGGGAGCCTGCTTCAGCTCTGGTGGTAAACCAGGTTTGGTGTTGGCCCAAACCATTTCCACACAGAGACAGAGAACTTGAGGATCAGAAGGGTCACAAACAGGCCAACAAAGCTCTCAACATGTATCCTGATTTGTCCCTTCAGTAACCTAGCCTACGTGGTAGCCAGGCTAACCCCATTTTCCAAGGAGAAGGGTACATAGAGGAACCACTGTCCAAAGCGAAGCCCAGACTCCAAAACCTGTGATTTCAAGACCTTGTGACACTGAGGCCTATGGGTCTTGGATCTAGGAGGAGAAAGCTGGGATCTCAAGACAAACATCTCAACAGGGAGGACCAAGGGGGTAGATATGACATTAGCTTTGGAATAAAATCCACGAAAGCATCATGTACAGGCAAGCACGACAGAAATCCCAAAGTTTTCTGTGACTACTGCATTCCTTGAGGTCCCCATGAGTCCAGCACTTCGAAGTCATCTCATGACTCCTCACTGCAGACCCAGCAGGGAGGAAGACTGCAGGGCTGGGCTGCAGGTGTGAGGGCTCAGGCAACCCTGCAAAGGGTTATTTCAGGCCTTGTTATTCCAAGTGCCCCTGGCCCAAAGGAGCCCCTTAGGAGCCCCCAGGATAATGAGAGCTACTGTCACCTCTGGCTTCTTGGCCACTTGCCCCTGGGTCTTGGGGACTTGGTTAATACTAGTGGTGTTCTACCCCCTCCCCTGTGCTATTCTCCACCCTCCCAGGAGCCCTGTCTGTGTGAATGGACAGAGAGCCAGTATTCAGTGGGCAAATTTTCAAGCACTTGCTAAAGCTTGAGGAAAATGAGGTATCTGACCCTGTTACTTCCATTCAACCTGGTCTGGCCTCCACTAGCCCTATAGATGTCTAGAAGGAGCTGGTCCTAATGGCTGGAGTGCCTGCTCACAAAGGGAGCAGAGGAAGAAGAGAAGGAAGCCTGGGAGGTGTGTGGGGAAGCCCAGAGGCCAGAGATTCTGGAGGAGGGAATGGCAGCCAAAAGTCCACCCAGGAGGAGAGTTGATAGAAGTTCCCAGGTGACCTCTGCAAGAGTGGCTGGAGTGGGGAGGAGCTGGATGGCCAAGGGCTGATGAGCACTGAGTCAGGCAGAGTTTCTTCCAGAACACTTGGCCTCAAGGGAAGCTTAGGGAGGCAGAGACAGGGCAATGTCGGGAGAGAGCAGTGGCTGAGGTAGGCTCCCCTTTCTAGAGAGAGAGGCTTATGTGCCAGGAAGAGGCCTACGGTAGATGAGAGCCCTGAGGTTGATGTTTGAGAAGGTCCTCCCTGCAGAGGGAGAAGGCTGGAGGAGATGATGCTGGGAAGCCAAGGCTGTACCTGGCTCTTCCTCAGTCCCTGGGAGGCATCTGGAGTAGCCCAGGTGGGTAGGGAGGTCCTGCTTGTGGCCTTCCTTCTGTGTAAATAGGGAAGTTCTGGGTGGATACTGGCAGGGAAAGAGGACCTGAGGGTGTGGCAGGCTGGGAGAGCTGCTCTGAGCCTCCAGGCTGGCTGCCTAGAGCTCCAGGTGAGCTAGGGGAACTGAGTGATTTTGCCCAGCTGCTCTGGCTCAGGTGGGAAGTTGGGGGCTCTTCTGGGTAGGAGAAGGATGGGGACTGAGGAAGGTGAGTCCCTGGGCCTGAGCTGGTAGGGAAGAAAGCAAAGGCAGGAGAGACTGTGGACAGAGGCGGGAGGGAGGGAGGGAGGGAGACACTTCTCAGGGACAGAGGACAGGCCACACCAGAGAGACTCTGGATGTAAAGTTAGTGCCCCTAGTCATTTGGGCAGGTTACAAACATCACTGTTTTTCCCCAGGCCGGAGCTGTGCTCTGATTCTGTCTAGGACAGAGCTGGGCGTGTGTGTCCCAGGAAGCTAGCACAGCACAATGCCAGCACCCTCCAGGACAAGGGCCAGGGGCATCAAGAGCTCCTGCCTGATGCTGTATCTGGACTTCAGGGTGATAGGAGACCCTCGGATGAATGCTGCGGAAGAGGAGACTGTCAGGAAACACAAGGAGATCTCAAGAGACCCCAGCCCTGGAGGGAAGAGCTTCGCTAGGACGGGGCTTGGGAACTTGTGGGAGCTGGAGTCACGGCCAGGCTGCCACATCTCCCTCCTGGAAGACACGGTGGATCTTGGACAGGCCACAACTGCTTGTGCCTCTGTACCCTCTCCAGGGCATCAGGATGGGGACAAGACCTGGCTGACCTCAACTGTGGGCTGGAGTGGGGCAGTGGCTGTGGCCTTCTGTGGATAAAGGTGCTAAGGGTCAGCAGCCTCAGAGGAGGTTCCCCTGGGAGAATTGAAAGACCAGGGCAGGGCAGAGAGCTGACCCCAGCATGGATCTGTCCTTGCCTAACAGAGGGTGAGAAGGACAACAAAGGCAGGTAGAGGAGACCTGACTTCCCATGCCCTAGTCCCTGGCCAGAGAAGGGCTTTGTAGCTTGTACCATTTGAGCTTGAAAAGCCTATGGAAAACCCGGTTCCCACAGCATTCTCCAAAAAGCTGGGAAAGAGAGGCTAGCTTCCCTTCTTTCCTTTTCTCTCTCCAGATGAGGAGTCAGTGCGCAAAAATGGAATGCTTAGGAATCTTAAGTTTACTTCTAAACTCGGATGATCACAAGGAATGCCTGATCTCCCTGGCCCATTCCCACTTGTTCCTATCTCAGGGAATGGCGCATCTGCTGTCCACCCAGCACTCAGGCCAGAGACTAAGGACTCCTGGGAGCCCTCTGCAGCCATCCAGTTCACCACTAGGCTGCCTGCACCACCAAGATTGCAAGGATGACTGCAGTGGCCTTCTCTCTGGCCTCCCTGCCTCTTCTGGAAGTCCCTAATCCTACATTCTACACAGAGTTGCCAAGGGACCTTAGCTATGCAAATCACCTGCTCACTTTGACAAATTCCAGAACACTGACTGTGGCCTGCAAAGTATGTCCCAGCTTCATCTCCTGCCCTCTTTCTCCGGGCCCACTGACTGTTAGCCCATCCTCAGAGCTTTGCCCCATCCTTCCCTTCCTCACCCTCGGGTCTCAGCTAAGGCCCCTCCTCAGAGAAAGTTCTGGACTCTGAGTCAATGCTTGCCCATTTCTGGAGGGGAAAGTGCTTATTTATTTCTGCCGAGGTCTCAAGTTCCATGAAGGCAGGATCCTCCTACCCAGTGCCTGGTTCTAGGCACAAAATCAATAATTATTGTGGGAAAGAGAGAAAAGCAAATGATTCTTGGAAATAGGTGTGACTACCTCCCTTTTCAGGGGATGTACTTGAGGCTTTATTCCCACCCGGCACTTATGTCTTTGAAGACACTGGGGTACCCACAGTGTGTGGAGCAGGGCCTGATGACAGGACCAACCTGGATAGAACAGGGTTTTCTGTCACCCAATCATTGGGGAGGCTCTGCCTCCACTTCTGCTGCCGAGGGGTCATTGTCTCCCCTTCGGGGATCTCTTTCTTCATCACAGGTATCCTGCTGCTCTTTGGGGTCACAGAATGCTCAATAGCGCGCTTCCTGGTGGCTGCCAAGGAGTGGACCAACTGCACCTGAATTCATGGAAGACCAGGATGGTCAGAGCTATAGACCCCCTAGCACCCTCAAGCTGACTGTGCCTCTTAGAACACTTGGGGACCTGCCACCAAGGCATTTTTCAGAAAGTCTCCAACCTTACCCCCCCCCCACACACAAGAGGGCTCTCCTCCTCCCGTAACTATTATCCAGCTACTGCAAGGAAGGCATGTTTTAAGGAATTTAAATAAGAATTAAGATGCTCATCTCAGTCTTTTTTTATCATTACAAGGAATTTTTAAAAATAGAATTGTCCAATAATAGTGGATTGGTTGAATAAATATGTATGTCCCTTTGATGGACTGTTAGATGTTTATTAAAAATGAAACTTACAAAGAAATTTTGGTGACATGGGAAAATGCTTATGAGATGATATACAAACATGTCAATTAAAAGTATAAATTAAAAACTCCACGGTATGATTTCAATATTTGTAACACACAGAAAACAACCGGGAGAAAGTATGCCAAGTGTTAAGAATGGCATATTGCTTACAAGGAACAGGACTGTATGAGTAATTTAGTTGTTTCTTTGGTTTCTTTGGTTTTTATAATTTCCAAAGATTTTAGAGAGCATTATTTTAGGGCTCAAATTAGGACTAAAACACCTTTTTAAATAAGCAGTAAAGAAATTCAAAGGAAGGGTTTGAGGTGGTGGGTTTCTCCTCCTTTGGACTGTTAGAGAGAACAAGGCAATTTCAACAGAGAACATAGTCAAGGGGCTTTAATTTTAATGGGGAGGGTCCTCAATCCAAGGAGCAGCCACTAGAACCCGTGAGGCCTGTGAATGCCCATGGACAAGAGAATGGGTCTGTTAGGAGAAAAGGCAGGTTTCAAAACACTAGTGCAGAATGAAATCCAGTTTCAAATAATAATCAGAACAGCTTTCTTCATGAAAAAAGACTCAAGGTACTGAACAGTTAATCCAGAATGTTTCCGAGTACTGTGATTTAAATTGAAAATTTCAATTTAAGTTTTCTCATTTTCAAGAATAGGCTCCCTAATTCTGTCAGTACATTGTAAAAACTAATAAGAATTACTTTTAAATCAAAGTAATTTCAAACTCCTTATTTCATTAGATTGCCGGGTAGGAACGCCTGTAGAGGGAGTGAAGTTCGGAGGGAGCAGAGGGAAGTTTGTGGCTACAAGGGGAAGGTGTGACTAGGGAAGAGGGACAGTGGGCAGGCCCTACCTGAGCCTGGAAGATCTGCTGGTAGACTTTGCCGCTCGGAACCTGGGTTGCCTTCCCCACTGACGACATCTTGGCTCTAGCCGGGCCGGACGCCCCTGCTGGGAAGCCGTTGTCCGGGAAACGCGTCGGCTCTTGGGTCTCAATTCCCATTCCGGCTGGGAACCGGCAAGTGCCCAAGTCGTGTGTGTGTGTGTTGGGGGGGGGGCACGTTGGGGCGGGGCAGGACCCCCAGGCAGCACTGGGGTTTAATTCTAAACCAAACAGAGAAGGGTTGGGGCGAGGAAAAGCCAAGAAACAAACCTCGGACGAGCGGCGAACTCGAGGAAGAGGAGGCTGCTCTCCCCGTCTCGCAGGGCACAAATCTGACAAGGACTTTGGGGACACAGAAAATGCAGGCTTATCGTTTGTCCTTTACCCTGCCAAGTTCTTCTGGGACAAGTCAACGCACATAAGGGGTTAGAGCGGATCTCGAGTCCAGGACCGCATCCCACCCTCGAGGAGACGCGCGCGGGGAAGGCACAAGAAAGGCCGGCTGCTCCCGGGCCCCTTCCACTCGCACTCAACCACCCGAGCAGTCCGGGCAGCCCCTGGACGCCCCCGAGTCCAGTAGACCGGGGAGAGGCCCTGCCCCAGACCCGCCGTTCCCCACCTGCAGGAAGCACCGCTCTGGTTCGCCTGGACTGGCCTAGCTGCAGCCAAGGCGGGAGGGACACTCTTGGTCTCCCAGGCAAGGCAGGGGGCGGTGACGAGCTGGCCCCGCCCATGCTTCATTCCCAGGGAGAGGCAGGCCCTTAGCCCACACGTGGAGTACTGAAGCAGAGCCAAATGCTGCCTTCAAAGCCAGTTTCTCTCTGTACAAGGGAATATCCCAGGGAAGTCGGGGCATCCTGGGCAGCACGTTAAATGTTCTGAAAGTTAGATCTGAGCCATCATGGTCAAGAAAACCCATCCTACCTATGCTTGGCCTTGGTCAAAACCAATCTGTACGGGGGAAGTAGCATAGAGTGAGTGGTTCCTATAAGAATCTGAAAAGACTGAAAAAGACTGCCTCTTTCTCAATTTAAAAGAGATTGATGGGGTCAGAATTCAGGGCTCAGCTTGCCTGGCCAGAACTGGAAATGCTTGTCTTTGGCACCAAATGGTGGCCAAAAGTTTCCTATATACTGTCTTGGCCTAGGGATGTCCAGCTGCTTCATAGAGAATCTGTTCCTTGGCAGGGATCCCTGTTAGACTGCTAATACATACTCCCCATACCAACTACTTAGAGCAAGGGATCACTCTGTCCAGTCTAGCATTGGAAATTAAGAAGCAGTGGGCAGAACACTCTTTTATTTTCATTCTTTTGTCCAGGAATTTAGCAAGGTAAAATATTGTAATGAAAATTGAATTCATTTTAGTTGAAAAAAGAGAAAGTATAGGTAGGTAACTGAGGGAAGAGTTGAAAAATACAATAAAGTAGAAAATGTTCAGGAGTTTTGCAGTCTCTGTTCTCTTTCCCATCCAAGGAGAGCTTACTGGCTTAAGCCTTGTGCATCAGAAACACTGCTTTCCCCACCCAGACACTGTCTCGGTTGTAGTTCCTAGCACATTTACAATTTTTTTCTTCAAGACAAGTTACATGGATATAAATGTATAGGCATGGCTATATCACACATTTTATTCTGAATAAGCAGAACTGCATTGTAGAAAATAACTCAATAGAGAAAAAAACCTACAATCCCACTGCTAAGAATTTATCTCCCTTCCTTCCCAAGGTTCTCGGCCTTTATGTGGTTGGCTGGGAGTATGGAATTACAGTTAGACAGGAGGAAAATATTCTAGTGCTCTAAAGCACCATAGGGTGACTGTGGTTAACAACAGTTTACTGTATACTTCAAAATAGCTAAGAGAAGGGACTTCAAATGTTCCCATTACAAAGAAATGGCAAATATTCAAAGTAATAAATATGGTAATAAACCTGATTTGATCATTATACATTGCATACATAAATCAAAATATCACACCATGCTCCATAAATATGTATCCACTAAAAATAAAATGAAGTAATAAAATAGCTTTTCAAAGAAGTTTATTGACTTGAAACCTATCTTTTCCATCTTCTACCCCAGACCATCATCCATATTCTCCACAGAACATACATAGAAGGAAGAACCACAGAGACCAACACCAGTACTGATATTTATTATGAAGATTTAATCCTTTCAATAACTGTGAAGGGGTACCATAATTAACCCACCTCATGGATGAAAAACTGAAGCTCAGAATTAGTAACTTGGCCAAGATGCCTGATACAGGAAATAGTTAGATTCAAGATATGAATCTAGATCCTGTAATTCTAGAATCTTCGACTAAGCACTTGCCACCTGGCATTGTAACCAGAAAAAAGTTCTTTGTCCAACTGATTTAATTTGCATGTTGAAGTATATGTATATCTAAAAGCATGGAAATCATATGTGTTTACCTCAATTAATTCCTGAGAGGGATCAGTACACACAAGAAACAGAATATTACCAATTCTCCAGCAGCCCTTCTTATGTTCCCTTCCCAAGTCATTGCTCTGCTTGTCTCAACTACATCTTTTTTTTTTTTTTTTTGGTACCAGGGATCAAAGTCGGGTCTTTGCGCTTGCGTAGCAGGCAGTGAAACCACTGAGCTAAATCCCCGGCCCTGCTCTGCTTGTCTCAAAAATGATAAATATTCTAACTCCTGAATTAGTTTTGCTTTAAATTGTTTTATTTAAATGGAATCATGTGCAATAGACCCTTTTATGTTGGGTTTCCTCCATTATGTTTGTAAGTTTCATACCTCTCTTAAAATGTGACTGTAGTATAGTATCCATTTATTAATAATATAACCAATTTTATTTATCCTTTCTATTATTAATGCATATTGGGTTTTTTTCAGTTTGAGAACATACCATTAATGCTGCTCTGACTATCTTTTTGGATGGTGGACCTATGTTGGCATTTCTACTGGGGGTGTACTTAAGACTAGAATAGTTGAGTCATAACACATGTGCATGTCCATCTTTAGAAACTACCAAAGAATTTTTGAAAGTAGTGTTAAGAATTTATACATATCACAGCATATGAGAGTTCCCGTTGCTCCTCATCCTCACCAACACTTGATATTGTCATCAGTTTTTATTTTAGCCATTATGCAGTGGATTAACATTTTAATTTGTATTTTCCTGATGTATAACAATGGGAGTACCTTTTCTTATACTTGTTGGCCATTTGGATATCTTCCTGTGAAATAACATCTGTTTCAGTCAGCTTCCTGTTACTCTAACAAAATACAGAGGTAATTAACTTACAAAGAGGAAAGGTTTATTTTGTCTTGTGGTTTTGGAGGTTCCAGTTCAAGTCAGAGTGGCCCATGGGGAGGCCCACTGGGCCTCTAATGAGGCAGTACCTCATGGCAGAAGCACATAGCACATCAGCCAGGAAACAGAGAGATGAAGAGACTGGGATCCCACAATTCCTGTTTGAAGACACATACCCAATGACCTCAGGACCTCCCACTAGATCCTCTCCTAAAGGTTCCACCACCTCCCAGTAGTGCTAACCTGGGAACTAAAGCTTTCACACATGGACTTTTGGGCAATACTGCTCATATTCAAATCATAGCAACATCCAAAGTCAAATCTTTTAGCTTTGAGAGTTTATGATGTCAGACACTAGCTTAAGAGTGTTTATATGTACTAACTTATTTTATCCTCAGCATAATTTTGGCATTAGAGGGTGCTACCCTCTTTTTACAGTTAAAGAAAGTGAATGGAAAAAGACAAAATAATTTGGTCAGTGTCACACAGCTACAAAATAGTGGCATGGAGATCTTAGATTTCTCAGTTTCCAAAAGCATAATGACAAAGCTTGGTTGTAGAGATTACACAAAAAGAGACAATCTGGCAAACACATCCGTCAATGGAACTAAGGTTACATTAGGTCCTTAATGATTACCAACCTACAATTGCTTTGGGACTCATGAGGTGGATGGGGATTTTTCTCTGCCATGTTATAAGGTCCTCGTGGCACTTGCCCAGATTCATGAGGGACTTTGAATGGACTATATGGGTCCCTGCCTATCAGAGATCTTATGTTTGAGCATGAAAAGTTTGGGTAAGTTCTGGCTCTACATGAGGAAAAATGTCCAGGCCTCTCAGCCCGCCATTTTGGCATCCTTGGAATGGTCCTAACTAGCACCCTGCACCCTCACATACTACATGGCTCACCCTTGTCAAACACTCTTGGGCTTGCTTGCCTACACAACTTTGGTCTTATTGTCACCTACCTGGAATGCCTGTCCACCCCATCTCTGCTTCCATGGACAGGTGGATTTCCTGGGTGATCCCACCCTTCTCATAGAGAATTTGAGCATCTTCTTTTTAAGCAAGGCCCAGGTAAACTCTGATCTACTCCTTACCCCAGTGGCTGGGGGACAGAGAGCTCATTGTATGCTGGCTTGCCCTCCAAGATTAGGGGCTAGGATCATGGATTTCCTTCTCTCTCACCCACCATAAAGCCTGGAAAAAAGGAAGCAATGAGAACCCTGTTGGATTGAGGGCCACACTGTTTCAGAGAGAAAGAGGGAGGTCTCTTCATATAGACATTTTACCACTTTCTTCAGTGACAAAAGTTCTGCCTTGGAATCAAACTTAGTGCTTCTTCACAGGCAACCCCCAAGCTATCTACCCTCAATGGACAGTGGAAGTCAACAATGGGCAAAGTTTGTTCACCAGACATTTCTTTGGTTTTTTAATCTCTTTCTTTTTTGCTAAGGAAGTGAAACAATCCTGAGACTTCAACCCTCAGACCCTGTGGCCATACCACAAGTGGCTTATACTAGCTTCCATGTATGTGGACAGGGCCTGTGCTGTCTCATCCCACAGCAGGAAACAGCAACTGGTTAGATTGAGCCTTCTCTTGGGAGCAGGTGGCTGGGTCTGGCCTTAGAGTCATTGTTGATGGCCTGTGTTAGCAATCTGTGCATGTCAGCAGAATCTGGGTGAAATCCCGGGAACTAGGCACTGACTTTGATTTTCTGAGTATGATGAGTCTGGGGTTGTTGATCAGGGTCTGCAGCAAGAGCCATCTCGTCCTGGACCTAGCTGAGATGTGAGGACCTAGGATAAAATCAGAGAAGATAGACTGGGGATAGGAATGCTTGGAAGGAAGTTTGCCTTTGCTGTTCTCAAAGCCTTTTGGAAGAACTGCCTATAATGTGTAAAGTATGACAGAAGGAACTAGATCAGGAACTGGAAGCAACAGGGACATTGGAGGGATGTGAGTCGTCCCACAGATCTGGCTGGGTATTTGCAATGTTGAAACAGCAATGAACAATTTGAGCTCTAAAGGGGCAGGAGAGCCTCAGAGAGTTTGTGGAAGCAACAGGGCAGAACAATCAAACCTGAGGTCCACCCTGGAGGGCATCTAGTTTGTGGCCTGGAATGTGGTTTGGAATCTTAAACAAATGGGGCAGGGAAGACTCCACTAGCAGAACTAGAGCTCATTTCCAGGAACAAGGCGGGAGGCCAATTAGCAGGACATAGAGTCTTAGTAGGTCCCATAGTCAGGCTGAGTAGAAGCTAAGCCTCCTGAGCATACTGCTGGAAGGGTACCCAGGGCAGAGAGTGCAGAGAAAGGGGACAGGAAAGGGACAATCTGGGACATCTCAGGGATCCCAGGGAGCCTTAGGGGTATTTATTTCCTGTTTTTCAGACCTAGTGCAAGGTCAAACAGGAGATGCTACCTGCTGATTGGCCTAGGCACCAGTATTGGGAGGTCTTCTGCATCTTCCTCTCCTTATGGCTGGTGATGAGGATGTGGCAAAAGCTGACGAGCACAGGGTTTGTGTGATAATGGTCCACATAAAGCATGCCGACCCAAGCGCTGAACCCTGCAACCCAGAGGGAGGTTGAGTTGAGTGGTAGCTCCCAGCCTGGTCTAGTTTATGCTTTATGATACAACTGTCAGTCAGTTTGTGCCCCAGTGATGCCCAAGTCTTTGCTGAGAATCTAGAAAACAAGCTGTAAAGCTCTGGATGTTTCTTGGAGATCACATTCTAATCTTTCCATTTTTTATGGAGAACTCAAAGCTCAAAGTGGGGGCTGCGAGCAGCCAAGGCAAGGACTAAGAAGGCCTCTGTGCAGATACTAAGTGGGTGAGGAAATGAGTGATGGGAGCTGGTCGGCAAACAAAAACTGCTTTTGAATTTTCTCAGAAATGGCTTTGGTTTTAGAGTATTTCAATGGAACAGAACATTTTTACTAAATAACTTTCTAATGAACAACAGTAATTCCCAGATGTGTTCTCAAAATTTTCATAAACTAACTTCTGTTTGGACAGAATTCACTACTTTTGATTAGGACTCTCTTGCACCTGAAAGGCCTGCCTTACCATCGGACTGCATGTTTCTATCATTCAGCTCTACATTCTCCTCCAGAAGCTAAGCTCTGAGCATAAACAAAGGTTTGAACTCTACCCTTCTGATATTCATCTTCCAAGGCAGCTCCCCAAAGGTTCAAGTCCGGCCCAACCCAGAGGAGATGGCCAGCAGAGGCTGGTCACATACCCATGTCTGCTCTCTCATAGCCACTCTGCATGATGGTCCTGTCAATGCGTGCAATCAGCCACGTGCCCAAGATGCAACTGATGAGCAGCCTGGAGAGGCAAGTGCCCAGGCCGAGCAGAACATTGTAGAAGAACAGGAAGTAGTTGAAGTTGTGGAAGGCTTTCCTGCAACAGAAGCCCAAGGCAGCCCCTCAGTAGGGAGAGGTAGCTAGGTCTGGAGTCCCCCAGACCTAGTGGTGTCCAACACTGCAACTCCGTTTCCTGGCCTTGTACCCCTGTGCTGAGCCATCAGGGAGGCTGAGTGGTCACCTCACAGGCCTGGAGTGAGGGTAGCTTGGAGCTGGTGTGGAGGGCCCTGAGTACCAGGCAGGCTGAATGTTAGCGGGAGTTGTGCTTGTTTCATGCAGTCCTTGGGGTTGGAGGCTTTCTGTGTGACAAGAACGTGGTGCTTCCCCACTCTGTGTTTCATCAAGGACCTGCCCCATTACTCCAGGGGAAACTTCCCGAAGGACCACCAATCCTCTGGCCTCTGGGACAAAGCTCGAACTTTGTATCCTGAGTGGCAGAGCTCCCTCTGAGAGGTGCTTTTTTGATCTTGTCACTTTGGGTCCCTTTTCTGTCCCTCTCTGTCTAAGGGCAGTGTGTGGTGACCATTTTTCATTTTCCCTCTCCTCAACACATCGTGGTTTTCTGTAGCTTCCTGCTTCCATCTGTGCTGTGGCAGCTGGTGGCCACAGCCTGAAGAAACCCCACCATTCTATGCTTACCCCACTCAAACATCCCATCTGCAGTGGAATGGCCCCTCTGCCCTTCCCCTCCACTCCCACCTCCCCTCCTCCATCATTCACATTTCCCCTATAGCCATTTTGGACCCTCTGGAGTCCTCTGTCCTTGCCACCTGTATGCCTGTTTGGTCCTGGGGGCTGTGAGTGTCTCACAGGCAAGTGTCAGAATTATTTCTTTACCCTCAGTGCCCAGCTTTCCTCCGTGAATTAATTAGAAAGAATTACCATGTTCTGGGCACTATTGTTCTAAGTCATATTTTAATACATTTCATCCTTACAACCCATCTGTAAGGTAAGCAAAAGTAATCCTAAGCGGGAACCTGAGGTTCATAGTTGTTTGGTAAGCTCTCACAAGGTTCCAGGGCTGTAAGGAGTGAGCCAGGACCAGGGCCCAGGACTGGCTCCAGAACCGCCCTGTCCCCTGCATCACAGCCTCTTAGGGAGTGTAGAGTCCATTCTGAAACCTCCCAAGGGGGAAAGGGAAGGACAGACAGATAGCTGAAGGCCTCCATTTGCTCCATTCCTTCCCTCATCCTTACCTGTTGTTAAGAGCCAAGGGCTTCTGCTTATCAGCTGTGCCCAGCTTGGGCTGCAGGAAGAAGCTGGCAGCAATCCACACCTGCAGGATCATGAGGCCCACAACAATGGATATGGTGAGGCTGAAACACAGGGGAGGAACGTGCTGGGGTGTCCTGTTCCACTCTTCCAGGACCTTCTCTGCTGCCCACAGAGAGAGGAAAGAGATGCTGACCACCCCACAGAACAATAAGCACACAAGCTCTGTGCTTTATGCTCACAAAGCATTCTTACACCCATTGCACAGGTCAGGAAATTGAGGCTCACAAAGAGGAAGTGATTTTCCTAAGGCCTCATGGTCAGCTCTTCTGGCTCCAGATCACAGCCCATGGCTCCCATTGATGTCCCTTTTTACCAAGGATGGCAGCTGGGTGAGAAGCTTAACAGGTTGAGAATGCAAGAAAGGAATGGGGGTTTGGGTATGGCTGAGAAGACTGTGAGAGAGAGGGCAAAGCAGGCTCCACTCCAGACTCACACTGGCTCTAGACAAGTGTGGAACCAGGGAGCTCAGAGCAGGGAGATCCCAAGAAAGTGCCCCACTGTGTTGACATCCTGTCTGAGGCAGTGTAGGATAACAGTTAAAGGAGGCTCTGGTTTCAGATCACCTAGCTCCAAATACTGTAATGTTCCTCATCGGAAGATAAGCACCAAGCTCATAGGTGTGAGAAAAGACGCATTGTAATGCTCAATGATGCCAGCATTCATTTTGTCTTCTAGATAGCTAAACTAAGGCTCAGGGAAGAGAAGTCATTTACTCCAAGTCACATAGTGGATCCAAAAGCTTAGCCAGGATTCTTTACTTCACTGTATCTTGCTGTCCTGTTTCTTACTTTACTGCCCCACAAATTTATTTTCCCAGCTGGAAAGTGGACATAATATATCTTCTCACACACACACACCCACACCTTTTCAAAGGCCATACATAATGATGGGAGAGGAAGCCTTTTGTAAACCCTTTCGTAAAACCTTTTGTAAGGTTCCCCTCCCTGTGAATGGCTGTGATGACTCCTTCTGAGTGAGAGCCAAGACCATGAAACCCAGGGTTGGTGCCCAGGACCCAGAAAGGACAGGACACCCATTCAGCACTTACATCCCCAGGCCCAGCCCTTGAAGCATCTCCAGGGCCCGGTGGTGGGTGATGGGCAGCACCAGGCCATACATGATCATCATGCCACACAGGCTCTGCATCACATGGATGATGAGGTAGCCTGAGGGTGAGAGGGCAGGGATCACTCCAGGGCCCTCATGACCCCTGTGCCCCTCCCTGCAGCCTTCCCTGTGCCCTCTTCCACAAGAGGGCCTGGAACGTTTTCTGGTGCTATTTCTTCTGCCTGGCATGACCTTTCCTGTTTTCCTGCTCACCTCCTGCCACCTTGCCAGGTACAGTACAAGGCTAACTCCCCTAGAAAGCCTCTGAGCCCTGCCCTGGGGGTGGATAGTCACTTCCTTCTCTGGGTCACCATGGCCTTAGCATACATAGCCTGACAGTGCAGGGCAGGTGGGCAGACAATGTATGGAGAATGTTTCTCCTCCCATCCTGAAGGGCCCTTCGGAGCTGAAGTCAGGGCTCCTTCCCGCTTCCCTCCTCCCCAAAGCCAGGCCTCCACAGGTGCCTAGGAGTGTGTGTTAGGTTGTATGGGTCACGGGATGGCACTTACCCCACAGAATGTAGGCTATCTGCCAGCCAGAGTACCTTGCAATGGCCACCTGAGGTTGAAAAGAAAACAGGGGCCTCAGAGCAGGAGGAAGCTTCATCCCTCTGACCCTGGGCAGGTGTCACCACTCGGTCTCAGAACACAGAAACCCCTGCAGACTTACCACGCTCTCAGAGGGGGAAGGATCACGGAACTTCAAAGGGAGAAAGTGTTTATCTCCTGCCCACAGTCTCTTCATGTGTTTTCTAGAGAAAAAGTGGGAAATTAAATAATATTCATAACGATGGCTCTTTATGCATGGGTATAAACAGCAAGGCCTGTGCAGGTGGGTTGCTGACTATAGCTCACAGTATAGTTCTGATTTGACTCAAAATCTGAAAGTTTAACATTTTGTAAAAATAATACATATTGACCAAGTCACAGTGGTGATTGAATGTGATAGGTAAGATTGTGTGTGGTTTTACTTCCTTCACTTTGCTTTCTATATTTTCCTACCATGACTATGTTTTATTTAGGTAATAAGAGTTAAAAAGACTTACAAACAGAAACCAATATTATTGATACCCTAACTGTATAACAACAGAAAAGGAAATAAAAAAGGAGCAACAACCCCATGCAATCCCTGCTCCCTTTACCCCCATGTTCTAGTCTAGTCCTTGACTGTGTAGAAACATCACGCTGACATTGTTATGTTCCTAGTCTATATTCACATTTGTCTTCTGCTTTTTTACTCAACATTTTCTCACCAGCATTTTCCAGGCTCTTTTGCACATTTTATGACCACTAAATTAAAAATTCTTAGAATGAAATGAAGAATGTAAATATCTCAATAATTTTATATGTATTACACTTTGAAAGGAGAGTATTTAGGATACATTGGGCTAAATAAAATATATTATTAAGGTGACTATAATCTGTCTCTATTTACTTTTTTAAAGTAAATACTAGAAATTTCTAGAAGTTTTAAAGTAAATTCTAGAAATTTCAAAATTGCACATATGAGCTTCAATATGTTTCCACTTGGCAGCAATGGAATTGAATGAGTTACTACCAGTACACATGCATGCATGCACACACATACACACACACCAAACAGGTGCAGTATTCACAGAAAATTTCTAGAAGGATACATAAGAAAATAGTTCATAGTATATAGCTTGGGGCAACAAATTAGGGATCCAAGTGGGAGGAAGATTTATTTTACATTAAATATTCTTTTTAAAAGTATCTGTATGTAGGTTGCAATAAGATTGAGAGAAATTAAAATGTTGGCACAGTGCTACTACCCTGCAGAGGGGAAAGGTGCTTTCTCCTTCATAATTTCCTGTGCCCCATGGTCCTGATAAGGAGGCAGGACAGAGAAGAGAGGGGGTGGGGGGAGAAAGAAAGAAAGAAAGAAAGAAAGAAAGAAAGAAAGAAAGAAAGAAAGAAAGAAAGAAAAGATTACAACTGACACCTGCATGCAAAAATACAAATGCTCACTCTTCCTGCACTGCTGTTCCTGGTTCTCTTGAGCCAGATTTACTTGCTGGGGGCCCAGTGTTATCTGCTCTGGATAGCATCCGACAGAGATTCTAGGTCCGACAGCCAACAGAGATACCAGAGTACAGAAGAAAGAACAAGGATAACAGGGCCTCTATCTGGGGGATCAGAAAGACTTGCTCATCTGCTAATTGCTTGGTGTGTTTTTTAATTTCTTTGAGTCCCAGCTTTCTCAACTGCAAAAGTTGAGATTAAAGTACGTAACCTCCAAGGTTGTGGTGAAATTCAGATGAGCATTCTAAGCATAATGTTAGCTTACCACAGAAATTCAAATCAATAGCTGTTTTTTCTTCCTTCCTACCAAAAGATGTGGCTATCTCTGGACCTTGTAATCACTTCATGGGCTCATATTGGGCACTGTAAACATTTCTCAAGGATTTTGAGAAAAGTATGCTATGTATATTTCTGGCTAAAGCCAAACAAATGACTCTGGAATTCTCTTACCTATAACAGGCCAGAATATGGAACAGATAGCTCACACAAGTGAGCGAGGCAGGCAAAATGGTCACCACCCAGACTCCTGAAACATGAGAAGTGATATGAAAGGCCTTGAAAAATAAACATGAAATGGAATATTCGAGATATAAAATTCTGCACTGGAAAGGTCTAGGCAAAAATCTATTACACTTCCTTTACCACTTTTCTTGTAAGAGTTAAATTTGCTCATTTTTTGATTTCATTTCAGTCATACACACTCTTGGAGTACTACATTTCCTGCACACGCCTCACCTTTGGTGCTAATATTTTCACTCTACAATGAATAAAAAGAAGGGAAAATTAAGGAGTGTAGACATCATCAGTAGACCCAGTGCATGGAAAACATCATTATTTGACTTCTAATTGCAATTTGCACAGGCGGGGTTGGGGGGTGTTTACATAGCATCCAGGTATAAGGAGAACTGGAATTGAGAAGTCTTAACCATTCATCCATCCTTCAGGAAGTTCTTGATATTTAGAATCTAATTCATCGGCTTCAAAAAATTTTTGTATTTATGAGGGAGGAATGTTAAAACAGGGCAGGATGGTGACTTTTTGGTTTAAATGTTCTGTAGAAGCTGAATATCAATAGGTACAGAAAAAGTATTTGATAAAATCCAACATCTCTGTGTGATTAAAAGCACTTAGCAAACTAGGAATAGCAGGAAAGTTCCTCAGAATGTTGAGGGCATCTGCTAAAAACCCACAGTGAGAACCAAGAAAGACTGAAAGCTTCCCCCTAGGCCTCAGGAATTGGAAAAGCAGTGTCAGCTCCTGCTAATTCTAGTCACCATTGAACTGGTGGTTCTAGCCAGTGCAATTGGGCAAGAAAAATAAAGTGCATCCAGATTGAAAAGAACAGAACTCTCTGTTTACAAAGGGCAAGATTTTGTATGTGTAAAATCCCAGGAAATACACACAAAGCTACTCAAACTAATAAATGAGTCCACCAAGTAAAACAAAGTACCCACAGCTTAAAGAAGAGGTTTGTTTTGGCTCATGTGTTTAGTCCATGGTCAGCTGGCTCCAAGGCAGAAGTGGAACAGCAGAGAGACACAGCAGAGGAAAAGCTGATTTCTTTGTGGTGGTCAGAACGCAGGGAGAGAAGCAAGGAGCTGGGAAGGAAGATAGACCCTGCCAGGTCACACCCTCAGTGACCTGCCTTTTCCAACCAGATTCCATCTCCCAAGAGCACATTGTGGCTGGGCTCGCTAGTGGATGAATCAACCAATGACTACAATGTCCCCCATAATCCATTTTCCTGATTAGAATTTTGGGGAACACCTCAGATCTAAACCATAACACCAAGTTTTCCAAGATATAAGACCAATATATAAAAATCACTTGTATTTCTATACTCAAGCAGTGAAAAATCTGAAAATAAAGAAAATGATTGAATTTACATTAGTATTAAAAACTATAAAAATTTAAGAATAAATTTAGCAAAAGAATGTATAACTTGTAAGGCAGGCGATGGAACCACTAGGCTAAATTCCCGGCCCAAATTGTTATACATATTTTTTTTTGGTACCGGGGATTGAACTTGGGTCCTTGAGCTTGCACAGCAGGGGGCGAAACCACTGAGCTAAATCTCCGGCCCTTAAGAATGTATAACTTGTATGCTGAAAATTTCAAAAAGATTTTGAATGGAATAAAATAAAACATAAATTAATGAAAGGACATCTGATGTTCAAGTATAGGATATTCATTGTTAACATAAACAATGCTCTCTAAATTGGTCTATAGACTCAACCCAATCTCTATCAGATTTTCAATTATTTGTGAGCTGAGGATCTAACTTCAGTGTCTGGTATGTAAATATCCATTTGTTCCAGCATCATTTCTTGAGAAGCATGTTCCTTTTCCATTGAATTATCTTGTCATCTGACCATAACTATGATCCCTGAGATAAGGCAATTGCTATATCCCAAATCTCAGCTAACCCACAGAATGAAAAACTGCCATAAAAGCCCCAGAGCATGTAAGGGAAGATCACTTTGGAAGGGAAGGATGAGAGAAGTCTGTCGACAAGAAAAATGAATGCAGATTGGCTCCAGCCAATAGCATACTCATAACCTCACTCTTTCATTGAATGCCATCATCCCACCAGATAAAGATGAAGTGTTCAACTAGAAGTCTCTTGGGGCAAGAGGGTAGCTGTTTTAAAGCTGGAAGAGAACAGGATGTAGGTAAATTTTTATTTTATTTTTAGAATATGTATACATGTGAGAAGCATTTCGAATGCATGAGTGAACATAGTGATGTATTCACTACCATGAACCCCAGACCAAGAAACTGAGGTTTGCTTTTAAAACGTGGCCAGTAAAGTTTATAATGGGTATTTTTGGAATTAAAGAGTAGCATACAGTGGTACCTCGGTTCACGAACTTAATTCTATCCACAATTCTGGTTGCAAACCAAATTGGTAGTGAACCAAATCAAATTCAGTGGTTAGGTTCAATGTTGACCTTATGGGGAAATATGATTCAGCTCACAACCAATTCTGTTTGCTGCCAGAACTGTGGAAGGAATTAAGCTCATGAACTGAGGTACCACTGTATGTTCTCAGTATTATGCTCAGTTGTTCATCCTGCTGAAGATAAATCTGCACTGAAAATGAATAAAATGTTCAAGGGCAAGAGTAAGCAATGACAATGTGGAAGGAGCAGTGCCAGCCTTAGTGTTCATGCCAAAGATAACTTTCCACCACACCTGTAAGAGATAATTCATTATTAAAGCTGTTCCCCTCTGGTTTTGAAACTCTTCCAGCAAATGAGTCGTAAGGGAGAGAAACATCATTTGCAATGTCTGTTTCATGACCTAAGGAACATTTGTGGTTTATAGTCATCAAATATCAGCCATAAAAGGTTTTGGAAGCTATTCAGCACCTTTATCCAAGCCCCACTTCACAGATAACAGATAAGGAACTGAAGCCAAGAGATGGTTGTGCCTTGTCCTGTGGCATGTGGCGAGTTTATCCTGATGAATTGTCCAAGGTCTTTTCATATCTAGGCATAGTGGACAACTCTCCTCCCTCCACAGATACAGCTGTGTCATTAGGGTAGGTTGATTCCAAAGAAAGTTTCCATTATAAAAAGAAGTGACTTTCCTTTTGTCCATAAAAAAGGGGCAAAGGGCCTAAATAGACATTTTTCAAAAGGAGCCATACAAATGGCCAAGAGATATATGTGAAAGAAACATTTATCACTAATTATCAGGGAAATGCAAATTAAAACCTCAGCGAGCTGTTTTATTACCTCACATCTGTTACAATGGATATTATCGAAAACACCAAAACTAACAAGTGCTGGCAAGAATATGGAGAAAAAGGAACCTTCTCACACTGATTATGGGAAAGCAAATTGATACAGCCATTATGGAAAACAGTACGGAGGCTCCTCCAAAAATTAAAAATAGAATTACTATATGATCCAGCAATCTCACTCCTGGGTATCTAATGAAAGAAAATGAAATCAGTATTTTTGAAGGGACATCTGGACTCCCATGTTTACTATAGCATTATTCATAATAGCCAAGATATGGAATCAACCTAAGTATCTATTAACTGATAAATGGTTAAAGAAAGTGTGGTACATATACACAATGGAATACTCCTCAGCCACAAAGAAAAGGGAAATCTTTTCATTTGGGACAACCTGGTTGAACTTGGAGGACATTATAACCTGGAGGACATTATTATAACAAGATAAACTAGGCACAGAGAGACAAGTCCCACATGGTCCCACTTACTTATGGAATCTAACAAAGTTGAACTCACAGAAGCAGAAGGTAGAATGGTGATTACCAGAGGTAGGCAGAGGCAGAGGGGAGAGCTTTTTTGTTGGTCAAAAAATTCACAGTTTCAGTTAAATAAGAGAAACAAGTTTAAGAGATCTATTTTTAAAACTGACTTTCACTTGAAAGTTATTTTTTAAACTTTATATCATTGTAAAAAGAAGCTCCAAGATTTGGTGTTTTATTTTTTCCAAGTGAAAAATATAGGATCATTTTAGTTCTTCCCATTGGCCTTGAAAAAATAGGCTATTTAAATGAGAACACTCCCAGGGCATATTCCCTGTAGACTTTAACAAAATGACCTCTGTCTTGACCTCATTTGTCTTTCTAGTCAACCCAAGGAGGTACAAATTAACACATTTTTCTCCAACATCTGCTAAGTAGTTTTAATACTAGTAGCAATTCCCCTGCCACCACTTATCCCTGCCACCACTTACAAATTCCTCAGTTTCCCCCACATATGGCAGGAACAGTGGGAGCAGATGGTTTTACCTTTGGAGACACTGAGCAGCTCTTGCAGCTGCAGGATGAATGGGGTCAGGATCCCCGTATGGTTCACATAAGTGTTGTAGTTCTCCAGGCTGCCTTCAAACACATCCAGCTTGTCTCTCACATACACGAACACGCAGAACTCAATGACAATGAACTGGGGGCACAGAGTAAAGGTTTAACAGTCTACCCTGAGCCTGGCTCAGCATGGAAATAACATGGATCTCTCTTTGATTTGGAGGCCAGCCTCTTCCAGGCATTCACCACTCTTACGAAAATGACTCTAGACACCAGCTATTCTAAGATGAATGGGATTGTGTGTTTTTGTAAGACCTCACACTCTCTTCTTCACCCTGTAGCATGCAAGACCAGGCCCCACAAGGGCTCAAGGGACTCTTTAAGCATTGATCCAATCAGAGTGGAATGAATGGGTGACCTCGAGGACAATGCCAGCCACATCTCCCATTGCTCCCTTTCACTGATATTGGCAGGAGCCAAACTGGAGAAGGTGTTTGCATGCAAATGTTGTGCTTGCCCACCACCCTGTCATCCTATCCTCATGTCACCATGCATCTGATCATCATGCTGTTACTTGTATAGTTCCTTTTGCTGTTTTTCTTCACCAATCAAATCGTGCTTACCTCTGAAGTGAAGCCCAGACACTATCACCTTTTAGGCAGCTTCTCAATCTAGAATGATCTAGTAAATTTCTAGAGCACTTTTATCTCATCCTTTTCTCCTTCCTAGAATGGCAGGTACTTCACACCATGTCTTAGACCATGAACATCTCCCAGGCCAGGACTGTGCTAAGTCAGCTCTGTCTTCTCCCAGCTCTTAGCACAGTACTTGGCATATAGTAGATGCTTAACAAATACTCCAGATGCAGCAAAACTCCAAGTGGGTTATTCTCTGTTGCAGAGAACTGTATTCAACCTTTAAAATTCTTTCACTCTTCTTTGGGCACAAAGCCAGACTACATTTCCCAGCTTCCCTTATATTAAGCCGAATGTCCAGGAAAAGGACAAAGAAAGAGGAGTGGAAAGCACATGTGATACTTTCACCCAGTCCATGAAGACATCAGACAAGCCTTTCTCCATGTTCCTTTCCTTCTGCTAACTGTGTGCAAATAGTAATGAAGTCCTCAAGGGTGAGCAAGGCACACTGTTATGGTTTAGCTATAAAATGTTCTCTAAAAACCTCATGTGTTTGCAAGGTGATTGGAAGATGGGGGTGCGACACTCATCAGTGGGTTCATCTGAATGTAATGTGCTGTTAGCTTAAAGTGCTGTCAGGAGGTGGAGTCTGTTGTGGGGGTCACTGGTGGCTTGACTTGACTTGGAAGGCTGTATTTTTGTCCCTGATTCTTCTCTTCTCTCTCTCTCTCTCTCTCTCTCTCTCTCTGCTTCCCAGCTGTCATGGCATAAGCAGTTTCCTTCCACCAGGCCCTTCCACCATGCTTGTTCTGCCTTGGAGCCTGCCAACTTTGGACTAAACACACTGGAAACTGAGCTAAATAAATCTTTCCTCCTTTAAGTTGTGGGTGTTGGGTATTTTGTCCCAGCGATGGGAAAGTAATACACACACAGTGAAGAATATTGGGTTCCTGAATGACCACATGGAGGAGAGCTGCCCCCTCCCCTCAGCAGTATTGCATGAGCAAAAATATATAGTGTTAAACCACTCCAATTTAGGGGGTTAATAAGTATGTCAGCATAACCCAATACATTCACTTAAAAACTAAAACATAGGATGCACTTAAGTAGATATTATTCTAGAACCTTTTCAATGAGCAAAAGGCAATTAGGCTTTATGTGCTATTTTATTCCCACTATTTGGATGCTGCTTTTGACTTTCCCATTTTACCTTAGATGACTCTGGCCACACAAAGTGTTTTGATTCTACACTATTAAAGTCAGAACTATGTCACCACTTAAAATTTTATGTGAGAAAATAAACTAAAATAAGATGTTTTGATTTTTGATCCATTAAAAAAATATAGCACCATAAATTAATTCTAGCTTATCCACTTTATTTTGTTTATTTATTTATTTTTCGTGGTGCTGATGATCCAACCCAGGACCTTGAGCATGAGTTCAACCACCAAGCTATATCTGTAGCCCTATTAGTTTTCCTATGAGACAATGTCTCACTGGGTTGCCTAGGGTGGTCTCATATTTGAGATATTCCTGCTTCAGTCACCCAAGTAGCTGGGTCTGAAATCACATACCACCACACTTGGTTTACATTTTTATTTTCAGCTCACTAAAATTATTTTTTTACTAAAATTATTTTTCTCAGAATCAACTATTTTATACTTGAATGATTTGAATTTTGTTGACAGCATCATTTGGTGACTAAAAATTCTATCATTGGAAGTATTTTTAAGTTGTTATCTCTAAAAACTCTTCTGTACCAAAGTTTGCATGTCAAATGATTTGGAATACATTTTTCTTCTATCAATTTTTAGTCAATGTTAATTTTATCACATGAGGCTTTAACTATTATCAGTTTTATTTTATGTAGGTTAATTTTTCTAGTAACATTCACCATGTGGGTAAAAGTGTCCTTGGAATCAAAATGGTAAGTTAAAGCTTTATACTTATTTGACTTACCACAATTCAATTCTGACCTGGCTTTTTAGGACATACTGCTTGCCTTAAAGACTCCATAACCCGTCTACCCTGGGGCTCCATTTATATAATATAAAAGGATTTTCATCAAGCTACTTACAAGGTACAGGCAGATGAAAGCCAAAACCACGGTTCCAATCATTCTGCTTGGAAACTGGAAGCAGGGGTCCCACTCATATACCCTGGTTTGAAACCAAGACTTTTTTCCTTCTCTGTGAATGAAGAAATACCAGGAAAAGAAGCAATGGTAGGTAAACAAATGCCCTATTTGTCTGGAAATACCACCATCTCCTCTTCATCTTGGAGTTTAGTGTAGAGAAAGGGTACTTTCACAGTTTTCATCTCCCCTTACTTAAGAACAAGGACTTAGAGAGAGACATAGTTCTGATGGCATCAATTAAGCCCCTGAATCTAGCTGGCCTGAAGCTGGCTTTGCTAGGCTGCTTAGAGATGTGAGCTGGCCAGTCTCCTCTCTCGCTTTAGTCCACTTTGGGTTGATTTCTCTTATAAGCAAAGAAGACATAGGGCCCTCCTGATCCCCCCAGGCCCTTGGTGGGTGGGGAGGGTTGTTCATCAGCATTGGTGCAACCTTGGGATGAAAGGCTAGAGGTGCACTTACTGTGCCCTAACCTTCCTCAGCAGCTGCTTGACGTGCTTGGCCTGGTGGGTTTCCAGAAGCACTGGCTTCTCTTCCTGTGAGAAAAGAGGCAGGGATGCTTTGGGTCAGACATTTGGCTTTGAGGTTGTTCTCTCGGAAGAGTCATCACCACAGAGAGCAGGAATATGAATACAAGATTTAGCCATTTCCAGGCAGCTTCCATTTCTGTAGGAAGGAACAGAAGAATTTCCTGTTCATTAAGAACCTGCTCTGCAGAAATGCCAGAGGCCTGGCTGTTCTTGGTTCCGTGGCTCTCAAAGATGCCAGTGAAGCTTTTCTCCCTGGGAGATGTGGTTATTTCCTGTCATAGTTGAAGCCGTTGAATCAAGAATGATACACCTCAAATCCCAGTGTTTTTACTGTGCATGAAGAGGAGATCCTTTTGCTATTTTCTTGCCTTTTTTCAGTATAATTTAATGCTACACTTTGAAATGTTTACTCCAAGTGCCCTGAGATTTCCACAGTGGGTGCCTATTTTGCTACATTTTTTTGAAGGTATATGTCACCTGCTGTGAGTGCTTGTGCACCCAGAATGCTGGGGAGAGCCCCCAAGATCTCCTTCAAATCCTGACTGGCTTCTTACCTTTTGTGTGCTCCAGGCAAGTCACATCGCTACCCTTCAGGTCCCTCATCAGTAAATGGAGAAAATACCTTTCTGAAGGTGATTGCAAACATTAAGTAAAACACTAGGTATAAAGCATGATGACTGTCCAGGACAAGAAGCCATTAAGTGATGGTTATTATCCTCTTATTAAAGGAAAATTTCCTTTTCTTCAATTCTTAGTAAAAACCTCTAGCATAGTTTTTTCTCATTAAAAAGGGCACATTTAGGGATGGGGATTTGGTTCAGTGGTTCCACCACCTGCCTTGAGAGAACCTAGTATCCAAAAAAAAAGGATACATTTAGATAAACTTTTATATTTTGCAAGAAGTACCACCTTTAGATAAGCATTTTATATTTTGTAAGCAGCACCTTACCAGTAGTATTGAGGGAAGTATAGGAAGACCTCATTTCCATATTGAAGCCTGAAAAGGTTTGAAGCTATGTGTAGTAACTGGAATACCTTCATGTTGTTTTCTTGTTAAGCAGCTAGATGGTGTGTCATCCTGATTCTAAGCCTTGCAGCTATTCAGAAACATTCTAGTTCTTCCTCCTTCAAGATACAGTACATCCTAGGATTGTATCTTCTCACCCACTTGAAGGTATGTGTTGGCTAAATGATAGGTTAGCCTAAAAAATGTCTGAATGGATGTGAAATCATCCTGGAGGCTTTAAAAGCTAACTTCACTATGTTATCTTTCTCGGTTTGTGCCAAATCAGATGTTCCCAATGGAGACTGCTCCACCAGCCTGTGTCACAAAGTGAGGAAAATGAGAGAAAGCCTCCCAAACACCCTTGAAGACATATAACAATGGTGCAAAATGAACTTTTATTACATCACTGAGATTTGGGAGTTTGTTTGTTACTACAGCATTACCTCTCTTGTTCTGACCATCACATATTCATTTTGAAAAGATAAGCAAAGGAAAAGAAAAATTCAAGGTCAATAAAACAGACCATTCACAACTTCTTCAAACTCAGGAGATGCAGAGACTAAAGCTGTAGCATGTTTGCCCTGGGGATCACAGAAACCCTAAGTTTTGATTCAATAGCAAGGTAAAAGGAGAAAAAAGGATCTCTCTTGACTCCAGCATAACCTCCGAGCTGGAGCCATTTGTTCCAAGCCAGAGGGGCCATACGTGACAGGGTAAGAGAGGCGACCCACAACCAAACCCTCTGGGTTCCAACTCTGTCTCTGCTAACAGATTGGCTGAGTGACCTTAGGCAACTCAATTCACCTTTCTGTGTCTGAGGTTTTGAAGCTAGAATGTGAGAAGTAATGACAGCACCTCCTTCCCAGGGCTTTTGTGAGGATTTGACTGACTGGTGGAAGCACACATACTCACCGCCTGGGGCTCCCACTGCAGGCGTACTCTCAGAGCCTTGACAAATATGTGCAGGAAGTGGCCCAGCAGGAAAGCCAGGCACAGCAGTGATGGCCAGTGGAAGATCAGGGACTCATACCTTCCCACAAACTGCAATGGAAATAGAGCCCTAGGTGCAGGTCAAGTAGGGCAGGTCCAGGCCACCAAGCGAAGCTGGGAACAGAACTCTGCCTGCCCAGTCAGCTCCCACTGGGGCCTACCCTCTCTGAGTTCTGAAGTCGGAAACCATCCCTACTCCCCAACCCCACATGGATAGAATGAACAGCAGCCTTGCATGCATGTCTTTGCACCCCCATTTTGTTTTATGAGAACAGCTTTTGTGGATTTTTTTCTGATTAGGAAATTAAATACTCCTTTTGAGAAATATGAGTGAGACACTGAGAGACAGAGGTAAGAAGACAGATAAAAGGAAGAGGTGGGGAAGGAGAAAGAAAGAGGACGAAACAGAGAACAGAGGGGAAGGAAGGAAGGAAGGAAGGAGGAGGGGAGGGAGGGACCAACCTATAATTGCCATAAGACTGAGAGCAGCTTGAGCTGATGGAAGAGGGACAGGACTCTCAAGATGGTTTCATAGTCTTCCTGTGTTATCAGTTTCACTTTGAAAATGCTTTTTAAAAATCACTTTAAGACAAATAACATTGTGACTAATCTTTCACAGTTTACTGATTGCTTCACATTTCTAGAGTCACAGTTCTCCCCATGAGAAATCAGTCTGGTTTCAGTTGAATGTCTTGTATTTAAAACTCCATCTGGAGACTGAGATCTCTAAGGTGCCAAAGGAAATGATGTGATCTAGACTCTTAGGCCTCATGGTTGGAGGGGCCACCTTGCCTGGCAGAGGTCTGCCAGATACATAGTCGCAATCCCACATGGAGGGAAGGCCCAGCCTCAGTCTTCTTTCCAACTGGGCTCCAGCAGACCTCCCTGTATCACATTCCTTTAATCCTCTCCTGTTACTGAGCTCGGGAAAGGGTTGACAAGGCTCCAGTAGGCTCCAGGCCCATGGGACCTGCTTGGGTCCCCTAATCTGCCTGGTAGTTCTTCTGGGCACAGTGTGATACCCCTTTTTCATTTTACTTCTTTTCCTGAGCTCCAGGATGAAAGAGATGAACTAGCTTCTACCCACTCTGGGAATGATAATGTATGGCCAAGTCAGAAGAGGTTCATCTAGCCTAATTCTCCCATTTTATAGAAAGAGAAACTCGGGCTACAAAAGCAGAAAGAAATAGGCTTCATAGTCAGCCAGACTTGACCTCAGCTTCCAAGTCTACAGTTTCCTATGAGTTATGTGTATTTATACCTGGGCCTCAATGTCCACACTATAAAGTAGGTGCAATGAACTTCCCCATGTGGTGGGGCTTCTGAGAGAGAACACCCATGTGTAAAGGGGCATCTTGATGAGCATTAGGTGCTACTCAAAAGGGAGCATCTTCAGCAGCTCCAACTCCCCTTTTGCACACATGAGGAAACTAAGGCTCAGAGAGTGATAGAGGCTTGTCCAAGGTCACACTGCAGCTTGGCCATGTTGAAGTGATCAAACATCCCAAAGAAAGGTCAGCAAGTACTTACCTGACCATGGGGACACTGTGAGATTTGAAGAACAGTGACAGCAAACCTACAGGAACAGAGACATAGTTTGGAGCTCTGGGTTCCCTCCCAGCATGTTCCCACAAGAACAAGCTGTGAAAACAGCCCAGGTCCGCTGACATGGACTTACCTCTCCCTCCCTGCACCCCCTGGGAGGGCTGACTCCCTCCTCAGTTGAGCTCATGACAAAATAAGTGCACACTAAATTCACTTAATGTGACCTGATGGAGGAAACAATCTCAGAATCCTCATGGGCAGAGGAGGAAGATTTCTGAAGCTCCTTCTCCCTCCCCTCATCATTTAGGTGGGACATAGAAGGCAAGGGATGTATCGAGAGTCACACACAGACACACTGGTAGAGCCAGCACCAAGACCCAGGTCTCCTGATTCTGTGGCTTCTGGAGGCTCATTCTGCCTCTTCACAACTGTTCTGAAGTCATAAGCCTCAGGACTTTACCCCTTTCAATGCACTTTCCTGGTGATGTTCAAAATTGGTCCTCATGCTCCCACAGTTCCCTAGCCACCAAGCAATTCTCATCACCTCTCCTTGCTGGGTCAGAGCCTGTCAGTAGCTCATGGAAGAGGTTACTCCATGCCTAACCCTGCATACTCTCTGTTTACATTTCTAAGGAGCACATTGCTGAAACTTTGGGATTGTTGCTCCTGGTGTGTCAGTAGCTTGTGAGCCCCTGCTGGTCATTGGTCATCCCTGACAGACTGGGCCAGAGGACCCTTGCTCACAGAAAATGCTGGACAGGAGAGGCAGCCTCAGCTAGGGAGTTGGAGACAAAGACATGAGCCTCCAGGGCCAGAGAGTGGAATTGTTCCTCAGTCAACAATTGTTCCTTGCCCTGCTGCTAGCTCAGTGCCAGGCCTTGCAACATGAAGGCCAAGCAGCTTTCTATTTGGTGGGAGCCATAGTCCATACAATAAGTGAATGTTTAAATTTAAAAATATATATTACAATAAAAGACACATTGCTATTAATCCTCCTCAAAATACTTTCCTGTGCCTTAAACACACTTATCCTATCATTCTTACCACTTTCTGAAGCAGTTCTTGAAATTTTCTTTTGTGAGTATCTTTAGTTGAGCTGTTGTGGCTGCCACTATGTCCTGAATTGATTCAAAATATTAGCTTTTGTGTTCATCTTGACTTTGGAGAAGAGGTAACAATCATACAAGACTAGATCTGGTACATATGGTGAATGAGGACACACTGGAATGTTGTTGCAGGAATACTTTTTATTTGATGGCACTTGGCAGAAGCATTCACTGTATTTTTGATCACTCATCATAAAGACACTTACAAAAGAGAATTTCCAGAACTGCTTCAGAAAGTGACGAAGAAATCCAAGTGTGATGGTCACACCTATTATCCCAGCACTCAGGAGGTTGAGGTGGAATGATCACTGTGAGTTTAAGGCCAGCCTGGACTACACAGTGAGACCTTGCCTCAAAAAAAAAAAAAAAAAAAAAGCAAGAAGGATGGGATAAGTGTATTTGAAGTGAAGAGTGCAGGGGAGTATTTTGAGGGGGATTAATAGCAGTGTGTTTTTCACTATAATAAATTTTAAAAATTTAAACACACACCATGTATTTTGATCACACTTTGTATTAGTTTCATTTGGTTGGAAGTGTGTGCTAGGCACTGTTGAGGTCTGGAGAGAGAGAGGAAGAGGCCAGGCTGTGATGGTCCTGAATGCCAACCAAAGACACACAAACTTTCTCTGAGGGTCCTGAGAGAAGCTATAATAGTGTTAAGAAGAAGCATCAAATAAGCTCCTACTTGCCCCAGTGGGACCTTCAGTAGTTTACAGAAATAAATTTTCCTAAATCCCTCACTTTGGGGAATATTCTAATTATGAACAGTCTTATGAGGCAGACAGAATACTGACCTCCAGAAGCCTCAACTGCATTCCAAGAAGGCACTACAATGGGACTGTGGACAAGTCACCCTTTTCCTCCCTGGGCTCAGTTCTGGGTAAAGGTGTCCTCCCAGGGAAGTTCATAGAGCACAGCCCACCCTCTCTGTCCAGGATTCCACCACAGCCAAAGGAACTGGGGGTGGGGAGCAGGCAGTGTCACTTACCAGAGGAGGGAGTAGCTGAAGCCGAGGACAGAGCTGACCAGGTGGAACTCTGAGGAGAGGCAGGCAAAGAAGGGGAAGTGGGACAGGCCAACTTCGATACCTCCAATCAGAAGCACAAAGGCTGAAGAGACAAGAACAGGAAAGCAGTGAGTTCCTCTCCTCACCAGTCTCCAAAGAGGCCCAGGGAAGCTGAGGGAGCTTCATGTTGACCTGAAGCCAGGGAACTCAGTGCCCAGTGAGATGTCTGAAAAAGCTTCAGTTCAAGCCAAAGAGGAATGCAGCGATGTCACTCATGCCTTCCTGCTTAAGGGCCATCCTGGTCTTTATTCTATGTCAGAGACTAGGCCTATGATTGAGATAAAGAAGACTTACTCCTCACACTTGTTTAGCTCACAGTTGGACAGGTGGAGACTGACCATAGGTAAAATTTGCTGGGACTGAAGTGCCCCAAGTCCACCATTAGCAACACAGAGAAGTAACATGCTGTGTGCATCATAGTGTACTCTCCCTGTAAGGAAATAATCCTACTGATCCTGCCACTAATGAGCTCTCAGGTGGCCTAACAGACCTAGGGAAATCTTCATGCAAGATGACCTTTACTAAGCATTCATTTTGACCTGGGTCCTGGGCCATACACTAAACACAGGAGGGACAAACCAGGTTCTTGCTTGGAGATAATGACCATCCAACAGGGAAGACACGTGGCCACGTCAGTGGTAGGAAATATACTACAACAGGGGTATATTCAACCTGCCATGGGAACACAGAAGAGCAAGCTGGGGGTCAGGAGGTCAGGGGAGGCTTTCTAAAGGTGCTGACTTTTAACAAGGCAATACCATATATCTCTATGAATTTGACTATTTTAGAAAATTTTTTAAGTGGAATCCTACAGTATTTTTCCCTTTGTGTCTAGCTTCTTTCACTTAGTATAATATTTCCAAGGGTCATCCACGTTGTAGCATGGATTAGAATTTAATCCCTTTATGACTGAATAGTACTCCATTGTAAGTGTGTACCACATTTTGTTAATCCATTCAACTGTTTATAAGTACTTGTATTTTTTTCCTCTTTTGGCAATTGTAAGTAATGTTGCAATGAACATTCAAGTACAAGTATCTGTCTGATTCCCTGATTTCATTTCTTTTGATTATATACCATAAAAGCAGGAGTTTGTAAGATGGAGAGAAGTAGGGAGGGAAGGACCTTTCTCACTGGAAGGATAGATGATGGGTTGTGGCTGGCCAGTGTTTGGGGGAATGTGAGTGCTTGGAGGGCTGATGGGAAAGAGAGTCCAAAAAGTAGTTGCTGTGAGAACAGCAGACACAGTGACAGCATCTTCATCTCTCTGAACACCCTCCACCTGCAAAAAGAAGACCAAGCAACTTTGAACATCTATAAGTCTAGGTGACAAGACCTGTTTGATAGCAACATGTGAGTAGAGGAAGCAAAGAGAAGGTGAGAAGGTGTCAAAAGGTCCAAGAACTGAAGAACTCAAATGTCCTGTAGGGGCAGGAGGTCATAGCCAGGAAAAAAGAATAAAATAGGATCTCATTAAGCTATGAAGTAAATTAGAGGTTACCAGGGACTAGGAGGAGAAAGGGAAAAAGAGATACTGCTTCATGGTTAGAATTTAAATTTGGAATGATGAAGTAGTTTTGGAAATAAATATTTGCAGTGATTAGGTTGCACAACACTGAATATAATTAAAGTTTCTGGGTTTTATACTTAAAATGTTTTTTGTTATATATATTTAACCATCATAAAATACTCTTTTAAGAAAAGGAACACTACCTCAATTAACTTGGGACAACTTTAATAAACTAATAAATGTGTAACTGGAATTCTTACATGGGAAAGGAAGAGGAAAAATGTTTAAAGAAATAATGACCAAAATTTTTCTCAATTTGAGGAAAATTGAAATGTAGAGATCCATTCAATAAAACCTAAACAAAAGAAACATGTAGAAAATTGCTCCAAAGCACATTATAATTGCTCAAAATCAGTGATATGAAAAAACAGCTTTTCCATTTTCAGGCAAGAATGTTTGATCTGATCACTTGTGTTCAACACTGTACTGGAGGTTCTACCCTGGGTAATTAGGCAAAAAAAGGAAATAAAAATTGCATAGGCTGGAAAGGAAGAAATAAAACTGCCCTCTTTTTTTAAGACAACAGGATTGTCTATGTAGGAAATACACAGAATCTCCAAAAAAGCTACTAGAAGTAATAAGTGAGTTTAGCAAGGTTACAAGAAATAAGATATATATATATATATATATAGATCTTATGTATATAGTATATATATATGCACAATCAAAATTAAAACAGAAAATATGAAATAGATATAAATCTGACAAAAGATAAACTACAAAATATTGATGAGAGAAATTAAAGAAACTCTAAATAAATGGGGAGATACATAGTGTTAATGGATCAGAAGATGAAATATTATTAAGATGATAATTCTCTCCAAACTGGTCTTCAAATTCTGTACAATGACAATCAAAATGTCAGCATTTTTTGGTTGAAGTTGACAAACTTAGTCTAAAATTCATCTAGATATGTAAAAGACGTAGAATAACAGAAATAACCTTGAAAAAGTAACATAGTTGAAGGATACACATCACCCGATTGCAGGACTTATAAATCTATCATATTCAAGACAGTACGGTATTGGTGCAAAGATAGACAAACAGGTTAGTGGAACAGAATTGATAGTCCAGAAATAGAACCACGCCTATGTAGTCACTTGGTTTTCAATAGATGTACAAAAGCAATCAGTGGGCAAAGGACAGGTTTTTGTAGCAAATAGTTCTGGAATACTTTTATTTGGCTATCTAAAGCATACAAGAACTTCAACTTATATTTCACACTAATGCAAAAAAAAAATCTTGAATGTATCATAGATATAAATGTAAAACTTATGGTTATAACAGTTCTTTCAAAAAACCATAGGAGAGGGCCGGGGATTTAGCTCAGTGGTTTCGCCACCTGCTGTGCAAGCGCAAGGACCCAAGTTCAATCCCTGGTACCAAAAAAAAAAAAACATAGGAGAAAATCTACAAGAACTCAGCTCAGGCAAGGATTTCTTATATGATGTCATAAGAATGATCAATAAAAGAAAAACATGAGTAAATTAAATTTTATCAAAATTAAAGATGTTAGCCCTTTGAAAGTCTGTTAGGAAGATGAAAGTACAAGTCATGGACTGGGAGAAAATATACACAATTCAATTCATATACCTGATAATGGACTTATACCTAAAATATTTTTTAAAACCTCTTTAAATGCAATTAAAAACCCATAGTTTTTGAAAATAGGTAAATGACCTGAACTGGCATTTCACCAAAGAAGGTATAAGAATAGCAAATAAACAGATGAAAATATGCTCAACATCATAGTCATTATGAAAATGCAAAACAATATCTTTACACACCTCTCAGAAGGCCTAAAACTAAAGACTGATCATACCATGAGTTGCCAAGGATGTGGAAAAAAGTGGAACCTTTATACTGATGATAGTAAACTAAAAATGATACAATGACCTTGGGAAAGCAGTTTGAGTTTCTTTAAAAGCATTTTCTACTAGATGATCTATACAACCCAGAAATTCTACTCATGGGTATTTACCAAGAAAAATGGAAGCAAAGGTGCATATCAAGACTTGTACACAAATGTCCATATCAGCTTCATCTGCAATAGCCAGGATGTGGGAATAAAGTAGATGTCTATCAAGAGTTGAATGAATAAACAAACTGTTTAATAGAAGAATGCTCCTCAGCAATAAAAAGATAAATTACTGACACATGCTAACTATGTATAAATCTCAAAATAATTATGCTGAGTGAAAAAACCAGATGCCTTTCCCAACAAAAGGAACAAAAAAAGAAAACTGAGGACACCCTGTGTGATTTCATTTAGGTAAAAATCTTGGGAAATGTAAATTACTCAGATCAGTGATTGTCTGGAGATGGGGTAGTGACAGGAGATGACAGGAAAGCAGAGATTACAAAGGGGAATAAAGAAACTTCTGAGGTTCACTATCTTGATTATAGCAATGGTTTCCTGGGTATAAATATTTGTCAATGCTTCTCAAGTTGTATATTTCTAATGTGTGATGATGTATCATTTTAGTTTTAATTTACATGTTCTTAAAGACTAATGAGACATTGGTACACATTTGATCACTTAGGTTTGTAGCCCATGAGAGGGAACTGGCCTGGATTGAGAGCTCTGGAATTGTAGAAGAGATCATCAGTGCAGTTCACAAAGTTTCCCCCTGATTCCAGAGAACCCCATGGTCTCTGATAGCAAGAATTTCCATGGTGACATTCCCAGCAGGTGTGAGGTAACTGTAGTACCTTGGGCCCACTCTGGGACCTGCAGGGGCCGGTAGCCTTCGGAGAACAAGAACATGACCTTATTGGCTGTGGCCCCAAAGGCAACTCCATAGGACCATCGGTTACTAAAAGTCCCCACGAAATCCAGAGGCCTGTAGACAACAGAAACAGCTCGTGAGGCCAGAGGATGACTGTGAGACATCATTTCCACAGATCATTTCCAAAATAGCTTTCCCACATGAAGGAGGAATTACTGAATGGTGAAGTATTTTATTGCAAGTGAAATTTTCTGAGGCCCCCTATGCTGGGACTGAAGCTAGGCATGGATTCAGGGTACTGAAGTGAGGAAGACAAAATTCTTCCCCTGGAGGACCTCCACTCCTAGTAGGGGATACAGCAAAGATGCTAGTAGCTATGACACAAAGCAAAAGGGGACAAGTTTGGTCCATAAGACACCGACAGTATGACTTGACAAATCAAAACCAGGAACATGTTCTACACAGTTTGGGGCAACTTGCCCCATACCCAGATCTTCCTATGAGAACTCTTCCTTCCAATATTCCTAATGAGGGCCTGGGAGTCCACATCATTTATGCGGACACCATGTGATTGAATAAACTAATACTATGCCACCCCAAAATATGCCATCTGGCAGGTGAAATACTTTGAGTTAAAAACATTTTAAAAACAGCAGGTACAAGATCACTCAGATCTTCATGCTGTCTCTGAAAAAAAAAAGACCGAAACCAGACATGGTGGCACACACCTGCAATCCCAGCACTCCTTCTAAGGCAGGAAGATTGCAAATTTGAGCCTACCTAGGGAACTTAGCAAGATCTTGCCTCAAAATAAAAAATAAAAAAGCTAGATAGGTAGCTCAATGTTAAAACCTTGAGTTCATCCCCAGTATTGAAAGAAAAAAAAAAAGAAGAGGTGAAATTCCCATGTGGTATCTCCATACTGATTCCCACAGTGGTTGCACCAGTCTACACTCCCACCAGCAGTGGAGCAGGGTTCCTCTTTCCCCACAGCCCTGCCAGCAT